AAGCAACCACCAGTTTAGATCATGGACTGTATCCTTTTTTGGACTGATGGACTCATAAGCAAGCTTGGGTACAAAATAACTACAGGGCCTTGGAGCAGAAAGAAAGGAAATGCACGAAGCACAAAATAAAATTTAAAGCCATTATGCTCATCTTCCATGTTTTAAACCCCTGAAGGTTCCTGAACTCTGAATTTCAGGTTACTTTGCTTTGAGCTCCACCTATCCAAGAGATTAATAGTATCTGTGATGACTAATGCAGACCTGGGATTAATGGAGTCTATACTAAAAAACTCTATTTTTCAACACAACTCATCTGCTTATTCCCCTGTTGTCTTGAATGTGCTTTACAGGGGCACTGTGCCACGTCAATGACATACAGTATTTTACATAAAGTAACAGTGAAGCATTCATGCCCTAAAACTACATAGAGCATCTCCATCAGGTGCATAAGCCAACTACAGAAGAATTACTAACTTCAGCAGTGGGACTAACTTCAGCTCTGTGAGACCAGCTGTCCACCAGAGAATTTGGGGGTTTGTCCACATCTGTGCTACAGATCACAATGGTCATACTTCCATAGATAACTAAAACAACAACATATAAATGCGATGCAAGATCTTTGTATTTATACAAAGTAAAACACTTATTGACAAGAATAAGGTGATGCAATTGAGTAACTTGGACTGATGCATAAGCACTAAATCACCTCATTAGCGAGAGAGTTCGTTGGGTTCAGGCGATAAGACAATTTAACCAGTTGAATGCCAAGTTTGGTGAAAACCATTAAATGAAAATTCGGCAAGAATCCAAGGTGTCCCATCTATCAAGAGAATAAAGCCGGTATCACACTACACAACTTTTCCTAGGATTTTCAGTCGTAGCCTCAATTTACATAATCGTAGGAAAATCACAGCGAGTTGGAGAGAGTCGCAGGGCACGCCCTTTACCGTCAATTGTGTAGTGTGACACCCCCAGCGACTCAGTTATAGCCCTCTTAATAGCTCCTACAACTCTCCCCGACTTGCTACGATAATATCAAACAGGTTTGAATTTCTCGTAGCCAATCACAAGTCGTAGGGGTTGGCTCTAGTGTCTGCCACAGGCAACAGCCAATGAGCGCTCAACTGGAAGTACAATGCATACAATGCGGCTGCAAGGAAACAAGAAAAGCAAGGCAGCAGGATTCAGCAGCTGCAGCCGTTATATTTGACATGCTCTCTTCGTGTCGAGTCCTGTAGTGTGACGCTGGCTTAACATTGTCGCATGCCATCTGCCGTGTTTACAGTCATAAATTTCTATCCTATCAATCATTATCCAAGTGTAATGGTCTCGTCAGAAGTTGGTTTGATACTACAGAAGTCCATTTTTTTGTGATTGATAGCAACCTGACAATAATACTGTGGATGACCTTCCTGCCACATTCAAGCTCTGCGGACTGAACCTGGATGATGTGTGGCACAGAGGGCTGAGGGAACAATTAACAGGTATGTGCTTCCCCAGGCACTATAAGAGGAATAGGACTGAATCCCACAAAACAGTATCTGTAAGGTAGTGCAAAGCATGCATCACGGATTCCAACAGTGGCAATATACAGTACATTACAAGACTGTGACCATCAGCCCCTTTTGTAGACCCTCTGTTGATCATTATTTGTTATTGTAAATGTTAACAAACATTTACAATAAACCTTTTTTCGAATGTTTTTCATACTGCAGGTTTTAGCTTCTAGGCTTTGGGTTATTACAGTATACAGTGGCTATTATTAAATCAGACCATTATTATCAATACTACAATTCCTGACATTGAAGATAAGCAATTAAAAAGAAGCATCCATTACAAGGCATTAAGGCTTCTTTCTTTTCCAAATGCACCTCTTTCTAACACCGGTTTTATACTCTGCACTTCCCCAGGGTCAGGATTTACATTAATGGCAAAAGACCATTAATGTTGTAGCCTGTAGGTTTAGAATTCCCTGATGCACTTCCGATTATCTGAGTCTGCTTCTGTGGTAAAATTCTGCCCAAGGAGGTAATATTTTTGTCACTACTAGAAACAAGAAAAACTTATATTACAATATTTGTTATTGGGATTCATTTGGCATTTTAACTTACAGGGATTGCTTTCTTTTGCTTTCAGTTACATTCTACATTCTGGAGCCCTTAAAGTCTTCAATCATCAAAGTATTTTTTTATTTAGTTATTTGCTAAACTCTGTTGTTTACACATATTTCTCTGTCATGACAAAGTTCCTAATGTTTATACTGGGCAGAAAAGAGGGATTTAGACATAAAATACATTGAAGTTCAAAGACTTCTTACTGTATGTAATTGCAGCTTTCCATTCTACCCAAGGCTGTATTATTTTCCAAGTGTGATCTGGCCAGGAGTTTTTAGTCACTGCAGACGTTCACTGGTAGTGGTTGATAGCAACCAGACTGCACTGTGCTACATCGATCGAGTCCCAAGACCTCACTTTCTAACTTTCCTGGAAACTCATCCTGGCTTGACAACATTCTCACAGGACAAGAATATCAGTGACTAGTATCCTCTGAATTGGTTAAACCAGGCAACAGCTATGGTCAAACACAGACAAGAGAACTTTGAATGTCTTTCAGTTTAGCAATTCAGCTTGAAGAAATGGGTAATCATTTGAAGATTGATATTAAGTTCAGAAAATTAAAATCCTGATTAAGACAGATTCTGTCATTATTGCTACAGTGTTGGAAGACTCAGACCACATCTTTTAGCATTCATGCCACTTTATAAATAATATTTTCCTGTCCATCACATGCTGACTGTTTGTGACTGTTGTATGGCAGACAGCATCCACACTGTCAATAACTTCAGGTGAATAAAGAGTCATGAGTCTTACTCATGAGTTATACACTAATTTGCTTTTCTTTTAAGTTATATTTAATTATATAATTATTTTTAATTTGGTCTCATTTACAGTACATAGATTTTACATTAACTTCATTTTAAGCATTCAAGGTTTAACTAATCTAAGTTTGCAGTTGTGGATACATTTATTGAATGTTGTCAAGGAGATCAGATAAAACTGTTCAAAGCTGTACGTAGGAGATAAAAAATAGTAGAAAAGAAAGTGGAACAATACAGGATAGGGAATACAGCAATAAAAATCCCTGAATTCCATGTTAGTGATAGTAACACATTCCTATTGTTTTAGTATGGATTTCACACAACCATTACAATTCTTTGTAAAATGCTGTCAAACCAAAATTACAAGACAGCTTGCCTTCCCCGCCAGTGAATGCTTTACTCAGCAACACAGTAAAGAACAAGGAACTGTAGATAGGATGCTGTTTGTTTCTCTGTTTGACTGTCTTCCTGCAGTCAGCCACTGAAATAATAGAAGGCCGTGATGTGGCTTGATGGCTTTCTTTTGATGGGACAGAAAAAGTTTAAGGTATGGTTATACACTGCTTTTAATTGTGCTATATATAATAAATTGTTATTACTATTATTATTAATAGTAATAGTAGTAGTAGTAGTACTACTGGTCAGGTCTGGTCAGTACTTGGATGGGAGACCTCCTGGGAAAAACCCAGTACCTGGATGGGAGACCTTCCAGCAGAAAAAGGTTGCTGCTGGAAGAGGTGTTAGTGGGGCCAGCAGGGGGGTGCTCACCCTGCGGTTCATGTGGGTCCTTATGCTCCAGTATAGTGATGGGGACATTATACTGTAAACAGGCGCCGTCCTTCGGGTGAGACGTAAAACTGAGGTCCTGACTCTCTGCGGTCATTAAAAAATTCCAAGGCGTTTCTCGAAAAGAGTAGGGGTGTAACCTGTGTGGTGAGCGTACTGGCGCTCTATGGCTGCCGTCGCATCATCCAGGTGGATGCTGCACATCGATGGTGGTGGAGGGGAGTCCTCATTACCTGTAAAGCGCTTTGAGTGGAGTGTCCAGAAAAGTGCTATATAAGTGTAAGCAATAATAATTATTATTATTATTATTATTATTATTATTATTATTATTATTATTATTATTATTACTACTACTACAACTTAACTACTTTAGCTGCTACTACTATTACTACTACTTACAATACAGAAGGTGCTATCATTTTGAGTCACAAACACTTTTGCCAGGAAAGTCCATGTGTGCCACTTTCATGGATGGAAGAAAAATAATTACCACGTGAGACTAAATACCGCTTGACAGTTGTTACATTAAATTTTCTATTCAAAGATCTCTCATTGTGGCTTGAATTAATAGTCAAATGCATCTTTCTAATAACAGATAAAGGTCACCATACAATACACATACAGTATGTTGTATATTAAATTCATGTGGATCTTATCAGCACAGGGTTTATTCTAATAAACTAACCATTACTCTAAAGCTAAAAATCAGGCTGCCCTTCATGATTAATGTGTTGATCTAAAATGATTATAAACTATAAAAGTTAACTAGTATATGCTTAACTAACTGGCATTACATACAGTATGTAGTAAATAGGAAAATGTGTGATCTTGCATAGGCTCTAGTAACAATTACCAAGTTGTAAATTTTACAAATTGAAGCAGTTTCATTTCAACAGATGCAGGAATACAATCATCATGTCTAGAGGTTCAGTATGATAATAAGCATAATTAATAAACCATCTTTGCCAGCAAGGTAGGCTACCGGCAGTAGAAATTGTAAGCATTGTAATTACAGTCTGTCACTAGGGACCAGCTTCTAATGATTGGAAATATTTACACTTGAGGAGAAGAGTTAGAACACATTCTCACATGGGTTGAATTTGGTTTTCCTGGTCATAAAAAGGGTGTGCATGGGGTTACTTGATTTTGGGTTGTTAGGACAAGCAGACTTGTCTGTCTGCTTGAGAGCCGTTTTGCTTGAATATTCACTCCTTACACAGCTTTCTTTGAGACAGTGAGAGTTTTAAGCTCTAAGGCCTCACGATGCCACATTAATAAGAGGGAGGCCCAGCACAGCTGGCTTCAGTTTTATGATTGAGAAAATCACAGAACTCACTGTTGCTAGTTTCTGCACGTCTTCATCAGAGGCGCCCAGCGAGGCCAAGCCAATCTCCTGAGAGAACTGTGCAAACTTGGGATCAGCAAGAAGAGGGACGTGTCCCAGGAGCTCATGGCACGTATCCCTGAAATCAGGCACAGTGCGTCAGTGAACTACTAATGTGTTACATCTTTTTTCCAGAGATCTGGAGCTTTTTCTCTTATTTTGAGAGAAGCTAATGACAAAGAGAATGGTATAATATTTTCCACGCCACATTATTTCTTGCTTAGTCAATTATATGGACATGATGATAAATAAGAGTTAAAGAGATGTCCATGAATCCAGCAAAAGAGAGAGGAATTGGAGAATTTGCAGTGCTGTATATTCACAAATGTTTCTGCTTTTCTGAACGGCAATAAAATATGTGACAAAATTACAGAAATGGTACAGTTCCAATGTGGCGTTAAGAAAGATAAGGAGCCCTCCTGCTATCAAGAGTCACCTTTTTCGTCAAAGTGCTTTCTTTTCATTAAGATTGAGTAATAAGCCACAATTGGTAGAAACTTGCTGTAGCCAAAATTTCCTTTGTCAAGCTGCTTGTTTAATTTAATTGGAAATTAAACTACCAATTTCTAGACAAGGAAGAATGAAAAGGAAGTGACTGTTTCCACACAGAATATAACAAATTCATTTTACATTAACCACCATTTATTTAACTGTGAAAAGAGTAAAAGCTCCAGCTAATAGACTAAGACAATTTTCCCCACTAGTGCAGAAATCAACATCATGAAGATTTATGTATTCTATACTGAATTGCCTTTAACAAGTAATATTTTTTTCTGATTATTCAATTCTAACTACTGTATACTTTTTACTTTCTTTAAATGTCACTCAATTGTGCTGGTTCCAATAAAACTACAGTTTTGTGACTTGGTGAAAGAGAGATTTAAAAAGTTTGGTAATGTTATTGGCAAGATGTTTCTAGAGCATTTAGAGCCCATCCACTTTAAATGACACTAGTAATGCTGCCTTAAAGCACCTGTGATAAATTGACACCTACAGCAGTCAACTATGTGTAATGATCTACAGTAGCACTAATTAACCTGTTTGTGTATGTTACCACAAAAGGTTCTGATGTGCCTCTAAAGCAGGGCTGATGGATTTGGAGGTACTACCTAACATTATCTTTTAATGTTGTGATTCTTTTAATAGATAATGTTATCTATCTTTTACTAAAAAAATAAAAGAATTTCACAGAAAGCAGTGCAATTTTAGTCTTAAACATTTCTACTGCATCCCCCAACACTCCCCTATTGACTTTTAATTTTCTTTTCAATTTAATTTTCTCTATCTAGATCTTAACAGATGGTTGGAGCAACAATGCTGCTCAATCTTTGTCTTTTCTGTTCTGAGAATAAAGGTTTTATTTCTTGCAGTTGCTAATCTGCTTTGATGATCCTGGTTCTTGGTGTATCCAGTACAGTAGGGCAGTCAGTGCCAGCAGCCAGCTCATTGTTCAGATAGTTAAAAAGTACTAAAGCCTCAGCAGCGTGCAGTGTAATATTTACACAGTTTGAGATTAGGCTTTCTGTTGTGAAGACTGTGGCTACTTTAGACTGTGCTTCAGGTGTCCCTAAGGCAGAAAGGACACTCAATGTACTGTATATCCAGGAACACTCAGATGAAATGGTGTTCCAGTAGAAGAGGAACAGATTCATAAGAGCATAAGATTTAAGAAAGGTTCCAAATATAATGAGACCATTGGCCCATCTAGCCCCATTTGGTCATTAGTAGTTAACTGATAAAAAATCTAATACACCTGTTTTTTTAAGGAAACTTATTCAATAAATATTGAGAAGATAGTGCAATATTGCTTTAATTCATTATATTGTACACATTGGAATTAATTATATCCCTGCAAATACAGCAAGACTCCAAATGAAGCCAAAGAGTGCATCTGTGACTAAAATACCCCTCACTTTCTTATAAAAGATGGACTGCAGTCACAATTTCTTGGGCTAGTTGTTAAATGTCAGTAACAAAATAAATTCACAGAATTGTACAATTTTCGAATGAAGCACAAAATCATGAACTTTGTGAAAGTAAATTATGGTCTCCATTTTGTTTGCAAACCACTGGGCTCACCATGGGCACAAACAGCAATGTGAAGAAGCCCTTCCTGGTTACTTGTCACTATAATGACTAATGCAATGAGACATACGAGTGAATATGTACAGCAGACATTTCACTGCAGAAATGTTCCAACATGAACTAGTGACAATTAGGTAGCATTTGTCAGCAAAACTGTCTTGAAGTTGACAGCAATATGTATATTGGATTCAAAGAGATGTATTAACAAGCCTGCTTGTTTACAATGTAATAGGTGTGGTTTACCTTACTGGAAGTTTTGTTGCTTCATGTTCTGAATCACAGAATATGGTGCTGAGCATACCTGGAAATGTAATCTATTTTGTGATGTAAATTGGAGGTTTTACACATTACTGTGCACATTTGACTTTTGTTGTGGTTTGAAATGCACTCATCAATGCTGAATCTTTTGTACCCCGAAATATGAAAACAGCTTTCCAGTTCCCCTTTACAGTAACTCAACAGTTTAAGGCTAGTTACAGGTCTTGTATAATTCAAAATTAAAAAAAAAAGAAATAAGCACTCAGAATAATAAAATGACGTTTGAAGCTCTGCTCATGTCATCGGCAAAAGTGAAAATGTTCACATTAAAAATACCTCAATTTCGAGAAGAAAATGTGAATCACGTTACTACCCTCATACCAAATTTATCAAATTTGCAACAACAACAAACATATCAGAGTCTTACTTTCCCCCACTGGAAGTAAATGATTTAATTACGCATTAGGCCCAATCCTTATTCTGCTTACTGGTGACAAATGGCAACCATGCAACACAAGACACTTACGGCTCGGGAGTGTAGAGTGGGTCTGTGCTGTGGCGGATGTACTGGGTGCAGTTGAACACTCGATACGCCAGCCCTGCGAGAAAATCTCGGGGGGACAGATATCCAGCAACGGGCCGCACAGTAAAGCCAGATCTTTCTGAAAAGGCAGTGGAAGAGTCTCTCATTACATATGATCGAAATGAAATGCTCCACTCATAAAGGTCCAACCACTTATTTGCATTTTGTATGTTTCAGAAAGCTGGACATCTGCTCCCCACTGCATTTTTAAATGTTCATTCTTTGCTTTATGTGTATTTACAGATGTCAGGATTGCTAGAGAAGTATTCACACAAGCCAGCAGTTTCCAGTGCAGTAGATGATAGTCTTCAGTACTGTCAGGAATAACAGAGATTAATTAAAAGCTGACACCCTTCTCCCACACACACACACATTCTGTTCTGTTTTCACTTTGTCTTCAAAGCCCAGGTAACAGTTGAAACATCAGTGTGAAGTGTCACAGAGGGGATTTCCTGAAAAGTGCAAAGTGAGAGATTTGAATGCTTTCTTTTTTCCGGACAAAATCCAAAGTGTTAATATCATGCATCTCTCTGTCTCTGACCAAATGAAATTAAATGAAGCTAGTAATGTAGCACAAACCATGAAGAGCACACCAGAAAACTACTATGAGGAAGGCATGTTGTCTCTCAGAATGTATTTAGATTTTGTATTGCCTTGGTACTGTCTGATGCTCCGTACTCTTTGCATTCCCTTTTAACACTACATCAGCAAAATAAATAGGCCACCAGTGGCAACAAAATATTATTTTTTGGAACATAATATTGTCTTGGCAACTGAAAGCAAGGAGAGTTAATGGAAGGAAGGAGAAATTGCAATTTACCTTACCCAATCTGCCTTTCTAATTCTCATATTTAAGATTGTTCAGACAATCAACTACAAACTAAAGACATTTTTTAAATTAATTAATAAGCTTATTAAAACAAGGCCTCCTTTACAGGGGATATAGCAAAAACAATTAAACAACCCCATAGAACATGTGTGCTTGAAACTTAGAATAGCAACCCCTGATCAAGTTTAAGATAAAAATAATATTCCAACAGTGTCTTCAGTATGCCATTCAATATCTGTATGCTTGGTTTATAAATAATCATTGAAATCACTCAGCACTGGGTAAGAACTCTAACAAGCATGTATCCGGTGCAAAGCTGCCTGATGACAGATGGAGCTCTGGTTAAAGCCGGAGGTAAGAGACTGAGGCAGAGAGAAAGGGAGGGAGAGAGTGCGGATGCACAGCTGGAGAAGGTCATAAGAGCAACCAGGGGAGAGGAGTGCTGGGCTGCATGCAGGCCAAGGTGAGGGGGTGGCTGGGGCTGCCACTGCTTAGTATTAGGTCAAGACAGCACAACTCAGTGTGCTAGAGAAGAGGTCTGTCTCTTGACTATACCATAACTCCATTAGTCCTCGTTATGCATGCCAGACTGATTTGAAGAAAAGACTTACCTAGATCATTCTTATTTTTGTGTAAATAATTCTCTCTGGTTGTTCTAAAATTCACAGACAGAATAAAATATCAGATATCATTTTTTTTCAATTTAAATAAGAAACCTAATTAAATTCACACATTTTTAATGTTAGTCCTTTATCGGTAGTGCAGTAATCCAGTAAATACTAACAGTTAATTAAAAAAAACAGTTCATTGGCTCCAAAATTATTGCAGTCAGTGGTATGTCAGCTCAAAATTACATCCTGTCAGTTACCGCTTTTCTACTAAATAAAAAGTATGATCACCCTTGGCCAATATAAAAATAATACTTGTACTGATGATACTGATCTACTGATGATGATGATTATAATGATGTTATGATTATTGTTGCTGAAAATTCTAATTTAAATCAAACTGAATAATACAACAAATTGTGACGGGAATATTACTCTTCTATTTGTAAACACATTCCTGCGAAGTTTACTTCAGTCCAGGCTGTCATCATTCACCTTTGATAACCAAACTTGGTAAAAACCAAAGGTTGCTGTATTTACAAAGAAACAATTGTACAGTGTGAATTTAATATTAATACATTTATTATGGAATTGAATGCAGACAGAGTCGAAGCTGGACTTGTTGTTGTTTGTTGGTGATGACAACGGTTTTGGTCTGCAGCACAACAGATGTTTTGATCAATATTAATCAATGCCTGTTCCAAATATAAGGACAATGTGATTACATGCTGCTATCAGATTAAATTCTGAGACCTTTTCATTGGCGATGCACTGTTTTATTTCAGCATTTTGCACATCTGTTGGAAGACGCTTTACTAATTCAATGGATTTAGCCTGAGGCTGGGAATGACTTTGTATTCATACAATACCTGACAGGTTTGGAAATTCCAAACTTAAAAATCATTCGAAAATCTAAGTTCTAAATGGCAAAAAAGACAACGGGGAATAAGGAGGATCATTAGTGCTGTAAAAAGCAAGGTACTTGATAATATAATTTTTAAAATAGGTTATAATTTGCTTCTAAATTCTGCTGCAGCAAAATGACCTTGTGAATTATTAACATGTTCACTGAACATTCTTGTATGTAAAATTGGAATTACTCAATTACTTTTAACATCAAAGTACAATATACTGTACGCTCTGAGTTAAGTTGGATATTTTGATAGAGGTAGATGGGAATCAGTGTGTAGTAATTATACAGACGCTTGTAGTGTGCGTTTAGTTTTTGACTAAGGTCACTCTGCAAGGCTTCCTGTGAAGGATTGATTCTATTTGCCACACCACATTGAAGGGATATGAAAATCATTTTCAAACCTTTTGGGAGGTGATTAAAGTATAGGTGTTTCTTGTTGTGACAGCTGGCACAAGAAGCTGGGATTTGTTTACAACGGTGGTTCCCAGTCCTGGTCCTGGTGACCCACACCTGCTGGTTTTCATTCCATCCCACCTTCATTAGATAACTGCAGCTTTACTTGATTTAATAAGTTGTTTCAGTTTAATAATTACATTTAATTTCTAGTCATAAGATTGGGATTTTCTTTCATTTACAATGCAAAAAAATGCAACAGGTAAGGCTCTAAAATGTTTAAGAGCTGGGAACCAACAGTTTAAATCAATCTTTTAAGTCTTTTATTTATTAAGTCAATGAAGTGTTTGATTGTGTAACTGAAGACTCGGCTGGAACAAAAACAAGCAGATGTTAGGCTCACCAGGATCATTGGTATATACAGTATAAAGAACATCCATCCATTTTCTAACTGCTTTATCCAATACAGAGTTGCAGTGAAGCAGGAGCCTATCCCACCAAGCAACAGGAGTAAGGCAGGATACACCTTGGATGGGACAGCAGTCCATCACAGGGCACACAGAGACTCAAACCAGGGCCAATTTTCCCACAAGCCAATTAACCTACTGGTATGAGTTCGGGCAGTGGGAGAAAACCCACACAATCACAGGGAGAACATACACATTCCACACTAATAGCACCCCAGGAATTGAACCCTTGGCCCCAACACTGTGAGGCAGCAATGGTGACAAGTGCACCACTGTGCCGCAGTGGTTAGCATTCTTAAATATCTTCAACAGATCTTGTTCTTATTAGTAGTAAGATATGTTCTTACTCTGAGTTCATTATTTAGAAAACAGGGCAAGATTAAATTGATGACATGCTAGCTATGCCACACACATACATAGCAGTTTAAAGATAGTATGGTTTACAGTATAAGAACAAAATCTAATTATTTCACAGAGATTAATTTGATCCCTGAAACATTCATTCCTACAGTACTACTTCTGCCATCTGGCAGTATTGTGCAGCAAGCTTTCCATGCCTAGAGGAGTAAAACTAAGAAGCCAGAATTGCATCATACCATAGTTCAGCACTTCTATGTTGTAAGTACTGTATTTTGTAAGCCTCCCTCCATTTCTCCGCTGAGTACAAGCTTAAATGCTCTGTTTGTTTTCAGAACTGTAGTATTTCAAAGAATAAAATGTGTTTCAAGACTTGAAGAAACAGCTCTGGTTTCAACCTGTACACTGCAACTAATTCCCATTACCTTGGAAAACACCTAAGAGAAGGGGTGTTGCAATGTATACTTGACAGTGTTATTAATATTGTTGCACAGAGATAATGATCATGTCTGCAAAGCTCTAAATCAGTCATCTACACACTGCAGGTGCTGCAAATACTTTTTTTTCTTGAAAAATACATTTTGGAAATAGCCTTAAAACATACATACATACTGTATATGTGAACAATTCGAATGTTTTTTTTCCCAAGTTATAATGAAGGATTGGTTTGATGCTTTTCATTTTGTGTGTTACCTTTTTGATGTCACAAAAATAGTAATTCCAGGAAAAGATGCCAGATGACAAAAAAACGAAAAAGGTCTCCACAATGGGAAAAGAATGACATTCTGTTTTAAATCAAAACATGTTAAACGACTTGCTTTTGGTACTGTTTCCATCCCCTATTAAGTTTTATTTTGGTAGAGTGGAGAATAGTTAGTAAAAATAAAATGAGAAAAGTAAAAAAGCTAAAACCGTGTGTGCACTCAACAGGTGCCTTAATTTTAACCAAAGAAAATCATAGTTGCATTGCAATTTAAGATGAATGGGAGGGTCAAAAGTTTTTTTTTAATCTTTGTCTTCCCATAATCTTCCCATATGAAATTATATAATATGGGTTCAATTAAACAAAAGCAAAGCTAGATTTCCAAGTACATTTCTACTACAGTGTCTGACCATGATTTTAATTAATTTTTATGTTGTAGTGCTTAGCATTTCTCTCATTCAAGTAATTCACTTTACTTCAATTAACTGGCCTGGGTGTTACAGCATCCACAGGACTATCTGTGTTGGAAGGACCCAGATCATCACAACTTGTATTGTTCTTTTATGTTTAATCAGTCACTGACCTTTCTTCTGTGACTTCCTGTATCATATAATCAGTCTGTGTAACACCGAATGTATAAAAGCAGATAAATATCACGTTTTCTTTTATTCATTTACTTTCTCCTCTGTTCTGCGGCATGAGAAATTAAGCTACTATGAAGACTGAGGTTCTTTCTTTCTGTGTCATTTATGTATTCTGAACATTAAGACCTGAGATATGACACAAGTCTATTACTGTAATTCAAGAAAGGTTAATTTGATAAAAGATCATTTAAGATAACTTTGCCCCTTTCCTTGTACAACCCAAAACATTTTAAGCCGAATAATGGAGCAGAAAAATCAAAAGTGACAAAAAGGGACAGAAGTGAAATAGGATATGTATTGAAGTGTTAATTACAACATATGATTTTATTCAGTTTGACATATGGGAATTTGCACAAATTGAATTTATAGTCATGGGTTGCAGGGCCTTAAAGTGGTGAGGGTACCTAATTTGAAAGGGGTGAAATTGATTCCAGAGAGAGGATTGTTTTCAGCACTGCTGTCCACAATGAGGTAGAATTTACCTTTCAAGAAAGCAGACACATCTTCAAGCTGAGGGATATTGTCTTCCCTGTATCCACAATACTTTGTCAGCAATGGGAGATTCTTCAAGTATTCCCGGCAGGCGTGAGTGGGATACAACTTTGTCAGCTCCTGGAAAACTGTGCCCCAGGTCTTCACTTCTTCTTCTGTGTACTCAATTCGGGGGATGGGCTGCCCACTAGAGGAACAGAGATAAAAGATTCACCCCTGAAATGGTGTACTTGCTTAAGTAGAAACAATCCCAGGCATTGGCATGGCTCAGTGATTTCAATTCCTGACAGATAATCCCAGGGGAATCAGTCAGAACATTCTGAAACTTCTAAACTCGGCCGGAGTTTATTCTGGTGAGAATATGATGTTTTCCACTCTCATGAAGCACAAATGTGGACTGCATTTTTACCCTCCAGCTCTGCCAGTCAGCTGATCTGAATGTCATTTTTTAACATAATCTAAAGACACTAAATAAAACCAACCGAAAAAAATGCACTCCTTAAAATACCTTTTACTTAAAAGAAACAATCTCCTTCAGGACACTTTCACACACTTGTTCTCTTGGCAAAAGAAATCCCTTCAAAGTCCAGAGATATTCCACTTTCTCATTCCAAATGGCTACACAAGTGATTGTCACATGGACTGTGAAACCTCCCCATGCTTCCCCTAAGCATCACACACCATTCACATTTCCGTCTGACAAAGCACACTGAAGCCATTTGAATATTTTGTGCCAAATGAGGCAGAGTCTGCCTCACTTTTCTAAGTGTAAGATGATTTAAAAGGTAACATGTACAGTATGATGATCCAAGTTAAAACAATTGCAGAAAAACGGACCTAAAATTCTTGTCTAGGCTTCATTAATGGGGATGAGGTGCACAAATCTGTAGCTACGTGATCTCTTTTTAATTGTTTTGCTTCTACCATCAGATGAGAATTCAAAGAGGAACATCATCAAATAAGATGCAGAACAGCCTTATGCAGACAACACACAACAAAAGACTCTGATTCCATTGTTCACATAAATTCAGCCGTCTCATCCAAAGAAACCACAAGATTTTTTTTTCCATAACGTTGAAATACATATTTGAAAGATTAAATGTAAGGCTGAAATCATTGGGTGTAATTGGGGATAAGGTGTAGCTTTCTTACCACTGGATGGCTATTACTCTCTTTGTGCATGAGGTCTATGAATCACTCCCCAAAAAATTAACGGAACTATGCAGCATGAAAGAGGGTGGAGATAAAGGAAAATACTATTTTCTCAAATGATAAATGCCTGTAGGTTGCAAAGTTTAGGTTGTGTCCCTTGATTTAGACCAAGAATATGTTCATTATTTATGAATATTTACATGTGTTGCTCTAAGCAAATGGGATTTTTCGACATATACACACTCCTTACCCATATCCTGAAACCATTTTCTACTGCTTTACATGTGTGTAAGGCAACAGATGTACAGCATACATTTTATAAAATATTTACTAATGCATACATCCTAAAGGATTAATTCTCGCATCGCAAGTGCTAGTCATTCACGAAAACACAAGGGTTTGGATTGAAACGTAGATAATAAATAGAAAAAAAGAGGACGGAGAAAGGGTAAACACAGTATTCAAATTGGGATGATCATTCGTGGGGTACCACAGGGATATGTACTAGGACCACTGCTCTTAAATTAAATCAATGATCTAGATTCCGGTACAGTAAGTAACCTAGTCTCGTTTGCAGATGATACCAAATTAGGAGGTTAAGCAAACACTTCAGAAGCAGCAAGTGCAGTTCAAAAAAGAATAGTAGAATTCAAGACTGACAAACACCTGGCAGATGACATTTAATTTTAAAAAAAGTGCAGTGTTTTAAAAACAGGTTGGAAAATAAAAATTACTATTATGAATACAAAATGGAAAATGCCAAGATAGAAGAACTTAATTTAAAAACATCAAAAATATATTGGTGCTCTGAAATCAGTGCAGGGAAGTACATCCAAATACATTCCAGGGTATAATTCGAGGTCCTACACTTAAAGACTGAAAGAATTGAACCTATATAACCTTGTACAGACCAGGCCTCTGCAATAAAGAGGAATTATCTCCATTGGGAGCACAAAATAAATCAAAACCCCAGTTTATAAAGGACTTTTTTTAGTTCTGTGAGTTAGCAATGAGGATACTAACCCTAAGAAATCTGATCATATTGTCAGTGATATACTGTACACAAAACCAGAATGATAAATTGAGAGCAAGGCTCAATAGCATTATAATATTTCCACATCCCAGTCCGGGGTAAGAAATATTGTTTTTTCTATTCAGCTTTTGTAAGCTTTATTATTTTTCAACCACCAACAAGGACACAAAAGAAGGAAACCCTCTTTTGGCTTATTCAATTATATTCTACGTGTGAGTAAAGTCTAGATTAAAGCTTCAGGACACTGACTGAAATCTATTCTGTCTGCAAACTATAGGTAGTAGTTTAGGTAAACTAAACTGTATTCCAAAGGAAAAAACTCACTCCTGATTAGTCTGTTTTAATTAGGTATGCATTTATTTATTGACCAAGTGATTACAAAATCTTTATTTAGGGAATTAACTGCAGCTGAAGCAGCTCCAGGACAGAGGCCTTCTGTCCTCTAAAGCAACAGGATCAATACAATCTTTCATTAGTCTTGTCGTTCTGTTGAATGGAGCAAAATGATTTTCTTACACAAGGATCACTTCATTTTAAAGCATTATTGAATTTTGCCAGTGCCTCATGCCAATAGTCTTCATTGTTCACCAGCCATCTCTAACCCTGCCTGAGTCGTCTGCTCTTCAGATTGGAAAATTAATAAATGCTCTGCCTCGCATACAAACACTATGTCCATGTGCATCATAATTCAAAGCCAAAGCACTATCAGGACCTAGACTTGCCATGTTAAATTTTCACGGCATACAGTGCTTTTTTCATTTTATGTAAAGAGGTAAATGTTTATCACTGAAAGGAAGCCAAATAATATTGCTGTCTTTTTTCTGGATGGGTGATTTCAAAAGCATTCATGACTGTTAATGACAGCAAACAAGTGAACCACACCTCATAGCTGTCACAGTATTGAAAGAGAGCGAGCATCTATCTCTAAATTGGTAAAAAGCTTCACAGCTATTTCTCAACCTCCACTACCTTTATACGCACTCTGCCTGATGCAAAAATTTCAGATAATAGAACTGGTTATGATACTTATTGCAGCTATTTTTGTGCACACACTAACTACAGCTGGAGTTAAACTTATCTTCACATTGATACAATACATCATAATTATGATTGGCACCAACGATGACATTGACTGGCGAAGTACAAGCTATCATCAAGAAAAACTCTCTTTCAGATTATGAGAAGAACTATTGTTGAGGAAGCAGGGATACCAAACCTTCCGTTTCTAGTGAGTGTAGCCTTGTAATTTGTCTTCCTTTCACTCATCTGTCTTTTAAAATATTTAGACAATGAGAAAAAGAAATTAGCCATCTTTAGCTGAAATGTTGACAAGGTTCATTCAAGCCTGGATTGTTAGACTGGAAAGGAAAAAGAAAAAGAGGCACAGTATTGCAAAACTGGCATTTTTCCCCATCTTTAAACATATATAGCAGTCCTAAAAAATAGATCACCGTACAGTATATCAGTAGGGAGCAATATTTACTATGACGCACCATACAGAGAGGAGGTGGCGCAACTAGCGGACTGGTTCTTCAACAACAATCTGTCTTTGACTGTAGATAAGACAAAAGAGATGATAACTGACTTCAGGATGGCCCGCACTGATCACTCCCCACTGCACATCAACGGCTCCCCTGTGGAGACAGCTGGAAGTATTAAGTTTCTTGGTGTGGATATCACAGATGGTCTCACGTGGACCATCAACACCACCTCCCTATCTAAAAAAGCACAACAACAGCTCCACTTCCTGCAGCGACTGAAAAGGGCAAACTTAACCTCCCCGATACTATCCACATTCTATAGAGGTACCATCGAGAGCATCTTAACCAACTGCATCATTGTTTGGTTTGGGAATTGTAAGGTCTCAGACCCTTGAACTCAGATGCAAGTCCCTGCAACGAATTGTCAATACAGCAGGAAACATCATTGGAGCCTCCCTTCCATCCATTCAGGACATCTACAACAAACGCTGCACACACAAACCCTCCAGTTCTGTGGACGATCCCTCCTACCCCTCCTGCAACCTCTTTGCCCTCCTACCATCTGATAAAAGGTATCGTAGTATACGGGCCAGCTCCTCCAGACTCTGTAACAGCTTTTTTTCCCACAGGCTGTCAGGCTCCTCAACACCCTGGTACCTACTGCACTTACTCCAAATCTGGAAACTTAGTTATTTTTTGCCTAATGTCAGGCATACTGTCTGATGTGTTCTTTGCACAATCCTGTAAAGTAAATTGCACTATGCACATTGCACTTTATGTACTGTAACTCTGTACCCTGTCAGAAATGTCTATGTCTACATTGTTTATATGATTGTCTTGTCAGTGTCTGTCCGTATTCGCACCGTAGACCTGGAGAATGATATCTCGCTCCTCTGCATACTTGTATATGGCTGGACTGACAAATAAACTCGAACTTGAACTTAAAAGATCTGGAAATTCTGATTGAGCACTTGGACACGAACAGAATGGCTTTTATTTTTTTGGGGAGTGCAAGAAAGAAGAAGCCAAAATGATCCATAAACTAGGCCAACCCCTTTCCTCAACTCTCCGTGATCAACAGATTGCTTTAAAAATATTGTCATCCATTCCTGTATTTTTGCCTCTCACTTGCTCTGGCATCTCCCAGAAACTTTCTCTTAGGACCCTTCTCATATTTCTGTACCTGTTCTTTCATTCTCCTTATCATCATATTGTTGCTCTCTTGCCCCACACACCAGGACAAGGTTCCCCAATCCAGAATATTGTTTCTTCTTTCCTTTTGCTTTTCAGTACTGAATTAAGCAATGATAAATACTGTATATACTGTACCAGCATTATGAAACACACTCACAATATATGGTTGTTTATGAAAGGTATAGTGATTACATTTATGACAAAGTGTAAAATTGCTTAAATTCCGTAAACAAGTCAGAACAGTAAAAAAAAACAGGGAATTAACAAAACAAGAAAATAGAGTAACAGCAGATGTGCAATTAAATAAATGACTGAAAGTACAAAAAGCACTCAGATACAAAGCCAAAATAATCAACCTTTATTGTCAGAGAACACTAAAAGTGTGATCATCAAAGTCTGTGTTACTTGGTTAATGAGCTGTTATCTTTTGTGCTTGCACTAGGAGCACAAAGGCCAAATTTAATACCAGTAATGCATAATATATATCCTGTATGTTTCACCAATAAAGTACTGTATGTATTAGACGTAAAAGTATTATACTAGCAATCAACAAGCTGTGTTTTAAAAATTAAGTTATAATACATGCCTTAGTGGTTAACCCTAAGAGAAACTGTTGCCTAGAAATTTATTTCAGTCATTCATACTCACTTGTGCAGATCCATGTACAATATAAAGTACTCATAATCCGTAAAACATGAAGAGAGCATTACAACCTTGTGCATAATTAGGTGTTAAGTGACACTTACAGTACTAATGTTTAATAGTACAGGTTTTAACAGAAATGCGAAAATTATAATTTCCAATTGTTTTATTAGTATTCAGTGTTGACAGTGGTGTTTAGTTTGCAGTTATAAAATGCTATTTTCATCCACTTAAATAAAGTCCTACCACCCTTTGTTTGATACAACACATATACTTTAGATGGGTAAAAAAGAGGTTAGCTTGGAAATTCTCTGAGAATTATCCAAGTTTGTGGTGATTTCTATTTTTTTCAGAACTTGGAGTTCACATTACACAGTTTAGAATAATGGCCAAATTAAACTTGCTGATTTTAAAAGTGTATTAAACCTGTCAAGCAAGTACCAGCAGGTACTGACATGGTGTGCTAGAGCTCTTGTAAATCCTATATGTAATTGCAGACACTGGTTTCTGAGACCCGCTTTGCTTTTTATTTTTCTTTAAAGAATGAGATCTCAGCAGGTGTTGATTATAATTATGTTGTTACTTTTCCCAATCAGGACAAAGTGATTAACTCCTCAGAAAAAAAACAAAGCCCACTGCTAATCTTTTCTCTAGTGATAACATGGCTTGTAGATGTTATTCACAAGCTATTGTTGTTTGCAGTGGAGTGATGGAACAATATTTTTTCTTAACAAAAGAAAGAGGAAAGGTTTATATATTGAAAGAGTGTAGCAAACCATCAAATCTCACAGAGAGAAAGAATATATGTTATACTTACTATTTGTAGTTCATGGCAACATCCACAAAATATTTTCTTCTTTGCCGATATACATTGTCTTTAAAACCCTAAAATAGACAATGCATTTATTATAGTCACACTTTATAACAAACTCAAAAATAAGAATGTCTGTAGCTAGTTCGAAAGTACAATTTTTAGTATAAGGCAAAAGATGGAGGAAGAGCCTCTAGCAATCTGTAGGAAAAGATGGCATAATCAGTATGTTTTCTGCTACTTTGTCCTACTAAGAGAAAAATAAAGTTGGAATTATTCTCACTTGCACAGTCTGATTCAATAATAAAGAATAGATAAGCCCTTTAACTCAGCAAACATTTGCATATGCATCAACAATAATAATGGCATCAAACTCAAAACACTGTATGTAGAAATGATTTAATAAATAAGGTCATCATTAATTTCTTTGATCCATTTCCTCTACGCAGCAGCAGTAATAATAATTCCCTTATGTCCACAACTGTGTCACTTTTACTTGTTTCTGTACTTGTACTGTTTCTGTTTGTACCACCGGAAGCTTGTCACATTGGTTTTAAGTAGCAAACTGATGACTTGTCACTATGAAACTTGTTTAAACTTCTTGCTATCAAGCTTTTGCAATGCAATAGCAACATTTAAATGACATCTACAGAGGCAGCACATAGGCTGCAATGTGGAAACTGGATGAATCTAGCCAGTAGCATTTACTGTACAATTAGTGTTGTTCCAAATCATTGCAAGTAGCATCAGTTAACAGGGAAAATACATTAATGCATGAAATTCCTAAATTAAGCACTTTCATTGGAAAAGTTTCTTGAAAATCCATCTCATTAAGCTCATGTGACTTTCCTCCAATCCCCTATTATTACATAACCATCGATTGTAACTCCATAAAACCCCCTGAGTCGTTTGAAAGAGTATTTTAAGGATGCTACTACACTAAGAGAAATTATTGTAGAACTTGAGCCTTAAACGTTTGTTAAATAGAGTTAAAAAACCTAAGGCATTATTCCAATTCAATGCTATGTGCAATGTTTAACAATAATAAAATACACTGAGAGGCATTAAAAAATGCAACAAATTACTATTAAAACCAATAGAATTTGTTGCATTTTTAATGTCTAGCTGCACATACCGTATCTTGGATGTTTTATTACTCTTTCTTTTCAGCTATCCATATACTAAATTTGCTTTCCATCTCTTAACACAGCCTATTCTTCTTACAGATTGGTTTGATTTTTGATCTGTTATCCAAAAGTCAAACCAATCTGTCAGTTATTCACATGATATGATTGGGCTTTTGCTGGCAAAGGGTGAATAAAGAAAACTCTGTGGTTAAGATGAAGGTCAAGAATGCATCTTCATTCAAAAATTATGGGACCGCTTGGATCCCTCATGTTGTTTTGCAACACTGGCTCATAGCAATTAAGCAACAATATCAGTTAAGCAAGAATTTAACACACCAGCTAGCATTATTACTTTCAGAGTAAAAAATTAACAAGGGTTATTGCACTGAGAGTGTAACAGAGGTATTTTACTCTCCCCTGAAATCTAGACATTGTCAAATTCTGTCATGGCAGAGGACCCGACCTTAGGTAGAGCAGCAGAATTATGTGCTGTCTGGAAAATGGCACTGTAAGACTCTGAGCCCATTTATTACTGTGATTGAATTCTAGCAGGGGTGGAGTGGTTACTGGTGCAGTGTAGAATACTGTGGTAGAGGACCTGGTCTTCTGCTGTGGCAGATTTATCTGTTGTCTGGAAAGTGGCGCTGCCTATACTTGGAGTCTGCAAGAAACCAGGACTGAATTTCGGCAGGACTCAGGGAGAGCCCTCATCATAGACGCAACACTATGCTACATGTACTGCATGAAAGTGTCTGTAGGATAATAGGTCAGGTATCTTCCCCACTCACTGTAAGGCATGGAATTCAGGTTTTCCTAAAAAAAAAATTGGTTGTTGATTTTAATCTTATCTTTCAGATAATTTCATCTAATTTTAGATCCTATATTTTATAAAAGAAAAAATATTAAGAGCAATTTTGGTTAAATCTTTTTTATTCCATCCATTCATGTTCTAACTGCTTTATCCAATACAAGGTTGTGGGGGAGCCAGACCCTATCCCAGCAAGCAACAGGTGCATCCATCGCAGGACACACACAGACACAAACACATACTGCCAATTTTCCCAGAATCCTCCAGTATGTCTTTGGACTGTGGGGGGAAATAGGAGAACCCAGAGGAAACTCATGTGAAAACAGGGAGAACATAAGTTCTCCACACAGATAGCACCCCAGGAATTAAATGCGGGGCTGCGCTATGATGTAGAAATATTACCCATTGTTCCACTGTTCCACCACCTATATCTAATTTGTAATATAAGACTAAAATTGAGTATTTTACTCTACCTTTTGACTATCTTTTTCAAATTCCAAATGGCTTCATTTACATTTTTTGAAACTAAATTGGCAGCAAAAGCTACAAAGTTACAATACATTTTTTTTAATTTACAAGAACACTGGAACCCAAATGCAAACACTGAATGATGTCAAACTGATCTTTATATGACTATGTCAGTAAACCCTAGCTTTATTATTATTCTGTATTTTTTCATTATAATTAAAATAAGATAAAGTAAAAAATAAAATAAAAATAAGAATATAATCTCAAATATAATGCAGTTATATATAGAATATAACTGCAGTGCATGTTATCATTTAGTATAACCCAAGCATGGGGGCCAATCCTTTTGTCTTTGATCGTAGGTACTGGAGCAATTTTATATCTGTGTTGCCTATTGGTGTTCTAAAATTGGGGTTATAATGGATAATGACCAAAGATAGGCTTGAGTTACCATTTCAATGGGTTCGCAGGAAGATGTATTACTAAGAAGAATGAACCAGACAGAAATATAAATTGAAGGATGAGCACATCAATAGAATAAATGAACAGAAGTTGTGAAAGAGTGATACACTCAATACAGCCCTATATCTGGCATAGTTAAAGCTGTTCAAATAAATCCAAATCCTGGTACTACATTTAACATTATTAGCAAGGGAATACTTGTTAAAATGTTGTTAGGATGTCAATGCAATTTCTCACTATTTTGCTATGGTAACCATTTTTCATTGCTTCTCAGTTTAAATGACTGAGAAGGAACCAATTGACCCTTAAACACACTTTCTTTATCTCTACAATCCCTGGCATTTCCTGAAATCTTAGAGGAGTTTCTTATTCTTTTTTAATTGAACTCTTGGGAAACAGACAGATAAATAGAGAGTATGGAAACTTATTTCTATTCTGTCTATCTGTTTCTGTGATGACTCATAAGAGAGGACTAATGCTATTTTAGAGGCCTGAGCATACCTTCTTTAAATATATTTCAAACAATCAGATATAACTTAACAAAGAGACAGACGTGTTATATTACCTGCAATGTGAGTTTGTCTGTATTTTTTTCCCATTTTCAGTCTATGAACTATTTTCAGTACAGTACCAATCATTAATAAAAACACTTCCTGATAATCTTAATCAGATGCTCTCAGCATATTTTGTTGGTTATTTTCTTTGTATACTTTTTATTATCAAATGTTATCATTGAACAAAATGCTGTTTACATACAGTATATATTGTAAAGGCGTAGGTACTGAAATTGCCCAATGGCACAGCAGCCTACATAAATATGTGCATTTACCGATCTAGTTTAAGGAAATAAGGCAGCTTTCCATTTGCTCAGGAAAACATATACAATTCTAATGTCCTTTTTCTTATGCTTGATCCACATCAGCTATAAAGCAATGAAATAAGTCTCAGTAATTTGCCTACTTACAATGCACAGAGAAGGTCTATATTTCATATTGGCAGAAGAGGCATTCCCTATTATTAGGGAGTACTGAAAAATACATTGAAGATAAATGATTAAATTGAAGAAATTTAATAAGGGGAATCTGAAATACATGCTGATGATACCTATTGGTTTAAATGTGTTTAAGGAGGAATACTATGAAATCTTTTTAAAATAGCACCAACCACCCCTTGTCTGCCAGTAAACATACTGTATCTTTAAGAAACCATAATGTCTTATATGAAACATAAAATCTTATATTAAAATTACATATTCATATCATTAGTCTTTTTTTATAATCTTTCTAATTACTTCAAGGATAATACCATATTTGTTATGTAACAGTTTAGGTCAATTAAACATATTTGTCTAAAGATCCAACTGAGCAATAAATAACAACTCTAGCTGTACAAAGCATCCTAAAGTTCTCTGTACAAATAAAAGCTAGATAAAAGTCTAAAGACTAAGGTGCTAAGACAGCCTTTTATTCAATTCAATTCAATTTATTTTTATAAAGCGCCTTTCACAACAAGGTTGCCCCAAGGCATTTAACAAAGCAAGTGATCATACATGTTCTGAATACAGAACAGAAAACACCAGAAGACAATGGAGGAAAGGAACCAAAAACTACTTAGTAAGGAGAAAAAAACCTCTAGGGGTCTAAGTCAACTGGCTGCCCAACCCCTTTGGGCACCCTAACATTCTACAATTACAGCTTTTAACATAAAATATCTCCTCTCAGTCAGGAAACATGTAACAGGGATACTCGATAACACAAAAATGTAAACATATGTTACAAAGTTACAAACTTTCAAACTAAATTTCAGTTTTCAGATTTAATGAAGAAGGATGAGATTCCTCAAAAAATGTTAATTCCCAAATTAAAAGCTGTAGATATCCAAGGCAATGTATAAACATGGTTTGAATTCTGTTCAACAAATAAGAAATAGTAAATCATCTTAAGGGCCAAAACCACTAATTGGGTCAGCACAGTCAGTGACGTACTACAGAGCTCTGTTTTAGACCCATTGCTCTTCCTGGTCTATAATAATTTAAACTCTGGTATAACCAGCAAACAAGTGTACCAATGATACAAAAATTGAGGAAGTGGTACTGTAAATGATAAAAGGTTTGACTTGAATAAAATCACAGACTGGGCACATACCCAGCAAAAGAACATGGAGAAAGTAGGAGACAGCAACTTCATTTGAATACCGTGTTTTTAGTTTTCATTTCACCTCAGACCTTACTAACATATTGAATAACTAAGCAGTTCAGAAGTCAAATCCACTTTCTTTAGCAGCAGCGTTTTCAAGGTCTTAATCAAGTACTAATTAAAATCTGAAACCTGAAGAACCTCAGCACTTGAGGATCGAAAGTGTCTGCCACTTCGCCGTACAGTTATGCATGAAACAGTTTCAAATGTTTGTGTAATTTTCAATGCCCTTAAAGCAATAAGGTGAAGGTAAAACAAAACATACAGAAAGTTTAGGCATACGCTACAAAATTTGGGACTTAAACTAAGATAAGGTACTGTATATATAGGTAAAACTTCCATTAAGAGTACTGTGATCAGTTGTAGTCAACATACAATAAAAAGGATATTGTAGCCTAGGACAAAGATCAAAGAAGTGCAACAAGAACGATTCTGGGTCAAAGGGATTTGCCACTTACTGACAGCTTAAAGCAACGAAATCGCTTTGGGTGAGCAGGAAGGCTGCCTCTCGTATCACCTTTCTTATGTTTTTAAATAGATGTTCTCAGCTTCTGGAAATTCTGGGGCTGGCTTATGAAGTAAATTATAAATTGAGTAAGTTACTAACTGTAATGTTTAAAAGACTTTTAAGGTCATTATAATTTCTAAATAAGAACAGTGCTAGTGATTTTGCATATAATGATATTACATCTGAATTGGTCCCCTAATGAAAGAAGAAACAAGAAAATTAGGTGTAATGTAAGAGCCAAGGAATAATGGATTTTGCAGTTTCAGTGTTTGGGTGCAATGTCTAGAGATGGTTTCCGTAGTAACCATTATAACTGATTTCATCATTTCAAATAAAATGGAGAATTTTCTTAACATGGAACCAAGGGAAATTAAGTAAGTATTAAAATAATCAATATTTAATATTGATTATCTAATTTGCACTAATGTTAAGATATTGTGCACTAGACAATTAACATTTTCACAGAGGTCTCTGAATCTAAATGTTAACATGTTTTTATGTTTACCTACAGTATACTGACATAAGCAATCCTTTTAATAAATACCTGCTATCTCACTGATTATACAGTAAGATCTAAATAAAAAAGTATCTCAAAATAGTCAGGATGGTTATATAAATTATCTGATTTTATTAGAATTAATTTTCACATTCATTACATAAATTATGTTATCATCAACAAGAACTCATCATTTTGGATAAACTATTTTCACTAACTTAATTTAAAACAAGTCCTATTTGTTAAAATGATTTGTTCAGAAACTATGCATATTAGGTTAAATCTAAAGAAATATTTTGCCATGGCCTCAGTTGAAGGTACTGTAAATGCAGCCTTTCAGCCCATTTCTAGTATGTTCTAAGTAAAGTTAATTTTTCATAGCACCAAGTTCTTCATTTTCCAAATCATTTACCAATGAATATCAAAAGGGAAATTCCTGTTCTGTGATGTGACAGATTTTGCCAGCAGCTTTTGATCATCCACTTTGAATTTCTGGGCATTTTTTGGGGTGAGAGTCTTAAAATGGTTCCGGTCTTACCTTCTGAGTGACAGCTGGAGTATAAAAGGGAGAGTAAGGACTTAAAATTGTACATCAACCAATACAGAATCACAGTGACACACACAGCTTCTTAAAAGGGCTGTATTCTGTGTAATAAAGAAAAACACATAAGTACAGTAAATGCAAGGATAAGTGTACAAATAATGTTAAAATGGGTGAAAAGAAATGATCTTGTTAAAAAGCATTGGTGAAAATCCTGCACTTCTCCCTTATGCATTTTCTGATGCACTTATGGTTTGTGTCCATGTTCTATTAATATAGTTCACATTTCATGCTGTACTTTCATGAAGGCTAATATACTTACAGGATGATCAGCGTCCAGTTCTGATCCATACATCAGCACCCGGTGAGAACATTGATCGAGCTCTGAAATCTTCCTTGGAAACCATGGCACGCCATCAAGCTCTGTTAATTAAGATGCACAGTAGTATCATAAAACAATGCCCATGGCTAAGGTTGTGTTGTGTGGTCCCTTTTTCCTAAGTTTCTTATTTGCTTGCAACGCTTCCTTTTAACACACAAAAATACTTTGTGATAGAATCTGAAGGCAAAAAGGCCCTAAAGCTGGTTTATCCTGATTTGTTGCCGAACGTTCGTGAAGGTTCATATTTTCAGTTAGGTCATGTTATGACATTGCTGTTTATGTAAAAAAAAGTTCAAATAATTCAGATTTTTAAATCAATAATAACTTAAATAATAGCACCTCTTTGCTTGTTCTTTTTTGTTAATACAATGCTTTTATTTTATGAAAATCTATGTGAACTGGTAGCAAAAAGAGTGATACCAGAAAAGAACACTTTCCATAAGAAACCAGTCAAGTATTCATTGGACTACAGGCACATATGTAACAAGAAAGAGATATAAGTGGTGGTATGTGATGGTAGAATTAACATACTTATCATAAACTAAACATATTAAAAGAAGGAAAGTTTTATCAAAGCAATGCTGTATTACTTGCTGTATTATTGTTCATTTCACATTATGAAAAAACAATACGACCAGAACAGATGTTTGAACCTGAAAATAGAAGCTATACCGGTCAAAATATAATATGGTTCATATCTCTCACCTCTAATATATCTGATCACTTTCTTTGGTACAAGAACCAAAAACAAAACTCAAAGAAATGCCAAACTGTTTTAACAAGAACCATTTGGTTTCCTTTTCAGGATGGGTATTTGGGCAGCTCTGAACAAGAAACACACTCTGACACAAGGATGAGCAAAAAGACTCTCAAGTGCTTTGTTCACTCTTAAAATTAATTCAGACTTCTCACAACCATACTTGGAGCTGAAATCCCAGACTGAACTTTCCAAACTCACTCCTACTAACTAAAATATCTCTATATAGAAGTCAATGTCCACATTCCCTACCATTTCCAATTAATTCTTTACAATCAGAGAGAATTCTTATTAAGAGTTTTTGGACTGTTTTGAGGTTGTCAATGATCAAAATATCCAAACCTTGTTCCTCTCATAAAATAAAATTGTGAAAAATAATGCCATGGATTAATAATGAAATATGATCAAAGGATTCCCAGCTGAAATCAGACTTTAGGTGAAAGTTATAGCTGAAAGTTATAATATACCATTCGTATTAGTATAAAGGAAATAACTTCAGTTGTTACAGAACATTCGATTTTTCCTTTAATACTAGTTACACGAAAGAACCATTAGTGCAAAGGACTGATCATTTGTAAAAATGTCACCACAGGCCAGTCTCGAACATGACATTCTAAGTCAGTCCCCTCTCCTGAAGGGACATAGTGCCTTGTAAAAGTATTCAGACCATTGCACAATGTTCACATTTTGTTATTAAAAAGCTCATTATACTATGAAGTAGCAATTAATATTCGTTAAATACACAACCTACTCCACACTCAAAGCAAAAGCAAAAATAAAGAAGTAAATGGAAAAATGAATGAAAAAAATGGAAAGGTTATGATTGCCAAAGTGTTCCAATTCTACACAGTGAGTTGAGTGGCCTCTATCTATAGCTGTAATGGTGGTTCACATCATTACAAAATAAACTGTGTATACCTACAGTATCTCTGTAAGTTCACTCAGACAGGTATTGAATTCAACAATTCAGAGTAAGAAGACCTTTAATACTGTATCTCTTTACAAATGGAGAAGTCAACCATTTTTTTTTGTTTGTGCCTGTTCAGTTTTGCCTCCAAACTGAACAGGCACACAAGAAAGAAACTGCTGAAAGATGCCACTGTGAAGCCAATAGAGACATTAAAAGAGTTACAGCATTAAGTGGCAGATAAAGTCAACACTATCCTGCTCTCTCTACAAAGGTCTCCAAAACAGGCTTGTATGGAACTAAAAAAAAATCTCACAATCCACACAGATTTTGCACCAAAACACCTATGTGATACTACAACCATGTCAAAACCTTTTTGGTCTACTCTAAATGCAAAGTGTTACAACTGGGGGATGCTCAACATAGTGCATCACTGAGTCAACATCATCCCCAGTGTCAAGCCAAGTGGTGGCAGCATTATATTATTGTCCTGCCTCTCATCATCAGGAACTGGGAAACTTGTCAAGACTGACGGGAACATAAATCCTGCATCAAACCTATACTGTAACTAGGAAAATAATACACCTTTTAGCATGATCCAAAGCACAAGACCAGAACTACAGTTACACTGAAGTGTCTTAAGAATAAGAGAGTGAATGTACTTGAGTGGCACATGTAAAGGTCTGACTTCAATCCTATTGAAAATTCTGTGTAAAGACTTGAAAACTATTGTTCATAAGTGATCCCAAAGTAACTTGAGAGATCTTAAGCGAATCTGCCAAGGAAACAACGGGTAGGAAGAAGAATCATAGTTGAGTGAGCATTAACAACAGATAGACTATAGTGAACAGAGAACAAAGATCAGCAAAACTGGATGGCCTCTGTGTCCTGAGAAAAGTGATACCACATTGGCTGGTGGGCACTATGTAATGAAAGGGAGACAAACTTGCTCCAGACAAACAAGCCACAATTAACAGTGCAGAAAGTAGCTTGCTGCCTAGAGAAAAGACCTTAGGGTTTGAGATACAGGTATGACTGTTAGAGAAATATAATAAACATTACAATCAGTACAGTATGTAAAAGTAGGGAGTAATAATATAAAATTGTTATATATAATAATAATAACAATATAAATAATGACATGTTGGCATTGCAATAATAATTAAGAATTTTAAAAACCAATACTCCTTCAGACGAGGAGTGATTTCCAAATAATTAACAATATAATGATCAAGCATGCCATCATCTATAATAACCAAGCTGTGCTTTTTAAGAGCTGGCAAATCTGCTGTACTTGTACTGACTTGTTAATAAATAATACATACAGTAAATGCGAAGTAAAAGTCTTCTGCCTCGTTTTTTTTTGCTTTCTGTAATAAGCTTTCCTCCTGTGCTGCAATCAACACATGGAAAGCAGTATAGTGACACTGTTACCCCAACTGAATTTTAATAATAATAAATTAACATGCAAATTCTCATTGTATCATACTTGGCTGTTTGTACTCGGATTTTGCATCACCTCAGATGAAGCACTAGCTGAGCAATAACCACCAGCTGCATTTAGTGGCATCTATCATAAGATCCACATCCTCTAGCATTTTCTTCTCTTATGGCATTTAATATAATTCTGCCAAATGCCAGCAGAAAGAAGGGAATATGTACTGTCAACCTTTTTAAATGTGAGACTTTCATTTAAATATATAGCAGGGAAATTCAAGAGTTTGATGGGAATTTCAGACTGAAAAGCTGAGTTGTGTGTAGCAGATGATGGAGCTGTGTGTCTCACTGTCTTAATCGTTCTCTGTGACTGCACCTCGTTGGATTTTAAAACACATTTTATGGGCCACATAGCCTTTGACTTGGCCTCACATTATTCCAAAGGAATTTATCTCACAGTAATGCAATCTTTACACAATGCAGTATGCCAAATCAGCCAAAATAACTGATCATACAGTATACTGACTTTTTTTCAAAATTAACTACTTGTGGCAATTGTGTCTGGATTTCATTCTTTTGTATGTTAACTCTAGAGGCCTTGCTACTGTAATAGAAGTGATAAATACAGTATTTTACAGTGCAGTTCAATATGTTATTTCACAATGATCACTACTATAAATTAAGTTAAACATAAGTCAAAGTTGTCTTGACTTAAAACAATGAATGGATAGAAGAGATTTGATATGCACAGAAATAATAGGTGAAATAGCTCTTACACATTTTTTGAGAAAACACATTAAAATGACCAATACACTAATTTTCTCACAATTCTAAGAGCACACTAAGATATCACCTTATTATTTTTGATCTTAATCGTGCAAAAGTATATTTGCTAATTTATTATTCGTTAATTGGATTAAATATATAAAAAATAAAATCATTTTAAATCATTATTTTTAGAATGGTTAAATGGAACATGTAGAAAAATCAGTGTTCTTTTATTTAAACGACAAAAATCAGGTCATCTTCCATTTACTAAATTAATGATAACTATAATTTCATTAATAATGCTAAGTGAAATGAAGATATTTTGTAAACATCTATTTGTAAAAATAATTCCTCTAATACACTGATCTTTCCTGTGTAATATTGTATTTGTTACACATACATTGCAATTAATTTGTCTTGCTATTTGATTTCATACTTTCATTTTGGTAATGAAACAAGTCATCTAAGTCACTATGTACAAAAGCTAAAATGTTCATGTTGACATTTTATACAGTATAAAGACTGTATTACATGGCAGAGTCTTGACTATAGAACTCTTGTATTAGTAGAACCTTTGTACCACTGTATATTTTCACTCAGTACTGAATTGCAGTAACTGCTATACCATATCAATTTTGATCTTTTGAATTTCTGATTCAATATGCAGGGATTATTTATTTAAACCCCGAAGTGAAAATGAAATCACGTTTTAATACTTCTTTGGCCCAAGCACGAGATTTGCATATGCAAAGCTACCCATGGCTTCTCTCTGCTTTCCAGCCTGGAATAACAGAGGCAAAAATCAAGGACCTGGAACTACATCCATGTTCAATCTTTCATTAAGCCAACTGGCACGGCCATTTGATGAGATTTCATACTCGAAATGAAATCAAATTGTGAAGTGAAGCTATTTTTAGCTGCAGTGGGCATGTGTGTTAAAAGTATGTAACTCTAGCCCTTGGGCCTGCGTTGCTGCTTACAGCAGAAATCATAGATCAAACATACCTAACAAAAGGTTTTGAAAACACCCCTTTATACAGAAATATGCCATCAGAATCACATAGGCACAAGCAAGAAGCAGCATATACCCTACCATCAGGGGAATTCGTAATTTACAAAGCATAATTTCAGGAATCAGGGGAACTTTCAAAGTATTTTTATGAAAAAATATAAATCCAAAAATCAGAGGTAAAAAAAAGAACCACAATAAATATGTTTAAACCCAGTTACTCTTTTAGGTCTGTATTCAGGCAGTTAAAAAAAACAACCTTTGCAGTATGATTTATGAGAAAACAACCATTATCAGCTCACCTTCCTCTTCAGTCCAAACATTGTCAGGTGGGTTAAGAGAGATAATGTTAACGTGAAGCTTCAGAAGTTGAACCAGCTCATTAAATTCTTTTTTAGTGCAGTTACAGTCAGCATAGATCTCCACTTCCGAGTTTCTTCGCTTGGATTTGCGTGATTCAATATGAACCAGATTCACGTGTTTTTCCTGGGAATCAGAACAGAGACATGGTGAAGTTCTGTGACTAGAAAATGTGCAAGCACAATGGACAAAATAAATCTCTCCTTGCACCCTCAACCACCACAGACATATACAGTATATAAAAAGTGTTTTAAAACACATACAGCTTTATAAAAAAATGAATAAAACCTACAAAAAATGCCATTAAAAATGATATAAGCCTAACATGACTTTGTGGAGCAGTGGTGGGTCCCTGGGTTCAATTCTTGATCTGGGATGCTATCTGTGTGGAGTTTGTATGTTCTCCCAAAGCTCATGCAGGTTTTCCCCGGGTGCTCCAGTTTCCTCTCTCAATCCAAAGACTTAATTGGCTTCTGGGAAAATTAGCCGTGGTGTGTGTGTGTGTGTTTGTGTCTGTGTGTGCTTTGCGATGGACTGGCATCCTGTCCAGGCTGTATCCTGCCTTGTGCCAGTTGCCTGCCAGGAACAGCTCTGGCTCTCCTGCGACAATGAATTGGATGAAGCGGTTAGAAAATACATACATGGATGGATAACAAACTGCAAGAAAAAATATCTCAACCAGGAAGCAAAGGCCACAGAACTGCACTCACCCTGAACACAAAGCTAGTCATGTGGTCCACAGAGAAAAAACAACTCAGAAAAACCCTTGTGAACACAGGAAAGCATACACAAATCCAAACAGAAGATCATCCATCAGGGAGAAGAACCTAGGACACAGGGTGTCTGAGACACACCAGTGTGCTGCCCCCCCCACCCCACCCTCCCCAAAAAAATAAATGTAAAAAAAGTTCTTCTATTGAACGCATTTGCTGGTGAAAATTTTATTAAAATATCTGCATCTGCCATATCTGTATTCTGAGAATGAGAAATATAGTTACAACTCCAGGCTTTTGGATTCCGTTCTGACTGCAGTCTCCTGTCTTTGTTGAGTTTGCATGTCCTCATTCATGTTCGGCTGGGTTTTCAGAAAGTGATCTGGGTTCCTCACGTATAAGGGACTGCTCTATGTTGGGACTGTAGTAGCAGCCCCTATCTGCCACTAGAGGCTGTCAAAGGTCATCTTTTACAAGAGAAAGCTTTTGTTTTACTGGATGAATTGTATTGCCGGTTAAGTGCTTGAATGCACATTTTCCCATGGGAGTAGTCAGTGGTGACTTAGTGTATACAAAGGGCTTGCACAGGTGTGGTGGTGGTTAGAGAGCAATCTTAGCAGTGAAGAAGAGGACGACTGGCTTTTTTCTGTGTAGGATTGGTTAATACTGTACAATAAACACTTGTGCTTCTCAAAGTGTTGTTTGTCGTGAACTCTCATGTTCTTAGATCCTCAGGGCCACCTTATTAAATGGGGGTGGGGGTCTGTCCCAAGGTTAATTGGCTATGTTAAATTGTCCAGTTCATGTTAAGTGGAACTGGGTTCCCACCCTCATTTACCCTACTCTGTCAGGACTGGTTCTGACTTTCCTTTCAAGAATCCAAGAATGGAAATACATGATACTACAGAGAACATGTTTCTTTTTGTGCAACACCGCACAAGGATTTTCACTTTTTGGTGTCTGACAATGTATTAATACTTAATAAGCAGTATTAATACTACATGCATTTGTTATATGTAGTATTAATACACTTCTTTTTTCACCACAGTAATGGACCACTTTTGGTAAGTCTTTGATAGGTTTTCCTGCCCTTGACAGTAATAGATTTTCAAGTACCCCTCTTGAATGAATGCAAGGGACTATCACTGACCTATTTATTAATTTTATTTTCCCCTGAGAGTGACCTAAAAAAGACTGATCTTAATAAACAAGCAGGACAGGCAACTAATGCCAGAGCTAACTGAAAGTGCATTAAAATATAAGGATTTATTTATCTTAAACAGCATATAATGTGCATTTTAAAAGTATATTTAAGGCAAAATGTCTATAGCACGATTGCTGAAAAGAATGCGTGTATAAATACTCAAATTCAAACATAGCCACCATTGTAATTATTAATTTGAATTGGGATAACTGATCCTTGAATATGTTAAACACCAAAAAGATTTGTGATATATTACACAATTGTTCGATCTTTTCTATAAAATCCTATAGTCCTATATATATATATTATGTCAATATTTATTTATTAAATGGATAGAGTTCAGTATCATTTCCTTCAATTCTAAGTTTGGAAGAAACCTGCTAAAGGGTGATTTGATGTAAATTATTTGTTATTCTAGAACCATATTCACAAGGTATACTGGCTGTGCAGCAGTTGCTGTAGCATAAAGCAAAAGTAAATATTAGTAAATAAGATGTAGATACATAGCTGTTATTTTTGCTGTGGCTGTCTTTTCATATTCAGTCAGAAAATACAATTTACTCCTCAGTCTCAGTCTTCTCATCAGAATAGAAGATGGGTCTTATAGCCTGGAAAGTGAGGACTTGAACTTTGGCTATCAGATTGTGTATGGATGCTTCTTGTTGGCTCATTATAGGCAGTGCTGCTGAGGTTGGTAGGTTGGAGCAAGTTATCATTTCCCAATCAAGACGATCACCGAGTACATACAGTATGTACTGTACATCAATGCCTTGAGAATGTTTATGCCTTGAGAATGAAGTATCCTGAGTCTCCAACAGTAATACATCAGGATTATTGGTTGCTGTTAGTGTGGCAGTGTAGGTGCCTTCAGGTGTGATGAAAATGAAATGGCAGTTCCGAGTAAAAAATTCATAACTCATATTATGACTCAAATAAAACAGCAATGAAAAATGGCTACAAATTTTTCCCTGAACAAAAGTCCGAATACTGTTTTTTTTTTCTATGGAATGCAGATTGCACACTTAGTGCTTCGAAACGTTACAAAAACAGGAGGAAAAAATAAAATTAACATATACTGTACATATTTATATATGCTACCTGTCTCTGCTACATTTGTCTCTAAAGAATGCTCAGCAGCTAATATGTTGTGTTTCTTCTTTCAGTGTGGAGTTTACCTTTACTAGTTCCTTTGCAGTCAATGCACAAACACAGTGCAAATTTATTATGTTGCAGTATTTCATTTTCAAGTTTAAAATACACACACTGTACTGTAGCTCTTGAAATGAAATGGCAAAACATAGCTTCAGGCTGAGGAGTTTATTGTACACTACTGTACGAATAGGAACAATGCATGTCCTATCCGTTTCATGCTCTCCTGGTCACTACACAGTCTTTGCTCTTAATTTGACCAAAAACTTGTACACCTTTTTGACTCCCTTCAAACAGTCCTTGGCCTGCTTCTAAATGGATGGGTCTTCTACTGTTTAGGTTCTGAATTAAAAAAAAATTATATAATCACATATAATACATCAGGTACCAACTTAGGAAAAAGCTTACTTTTCTTTAACAGCGTTTTTAAATGCTGACATTGTACAGTATGTATGTAAGAAGAATTTCGCCTTTAGCCTACTAGCAGGGGAACCTGAAGTGAACCTCCCTCCACACACAAAAAGTCATACATTGCAACAAAGAAACATCTTCTCTGTGTTCTCATTAACAAATAACTACATTAATACCCTCACACAGCATTCATGTACCAATGGTACATGTCTGTAGCAAATAAAAAACTCATTTGTTCTAGTAATTAATCTTTTTTGTTCTTAAGTTAGACACTGCTTATTTTATTTCTGAAAATGGAACGAATTATTAAAATATATTGAAATGAACTAATAACGTTTAAATGAAAGCTCACATAATACTGTACATTCAATAATAATAATTATCAATATTTTTAATGTTTTTAAATAAGAGTGTCTTACTGTATTCCGTTTTGTAATGCTGGATTTGCAATTGGTAGTAAATTGATTCTGCCCCTACAAAGATTAATTAGTCAAGCGCGCATAAAGTCATTACAAAAAAACATCTTATGAGGCTCGCTTTACAAATAATTAACTGCTGGACTACACTTGTGGCAAATGTTAATCAAACAGCATATCAGTAAAGTTAAATCTGTCACAAAAACAACTCTTATAGGTCCATAATTTACACTATTTATGATAAGAAAGCTTGTTTTCTCTTTCAGCCTGCTGTACCTTATGTGAATAACATCATCCTATGCGCTTTATGAAGCAACAGCAAGATGATAAATGTAGAATGCCAAAGCAGCGTACAGGAACAAAAATCTGAAAATGGATTTTGAAGAACTTTGAAAATCAGGCAGTAGTGGGGAGTACTGATGAGAGGTCAGACTTACAGCATAACAGGAGGATCAGGGGTTCAAATCTCACTTATACTACTACAATACCTTTGAGTAAGATACTTCACCTGAAGAACAAAATACCCATCTGAATCAGGGGGTACAAATCTAATTTGATTTGGACTGGTTTGGTTATAAGCAAAAAGACAGTAGCAGTAAGATCAAATGACAAGTTCAGCCATGTAACAAACTAGTGAATATTTAATTTAAGTGACACAATATGTTGACCAATATCAAAAGAATTACAACTGATGTATGTGGAAGGCATTTCCACTATTTAAGTTTGAATCATTACTGTCTTTCTGAGCAAAAGTACACATTCTCTAGTCACCATGAGCATTCACCATCACATGGGTTGAAAGAAATACCTGCAATTTATCAACTCACTAGAAATAAATCAAGATTTTAGACATTTATAAAACACATAAGTGTAATGTAATACACAAACATGTTAACGTTAAGTTGTTAAACATGTTAAACATTAGTTGTGTTCATGACATTACACAGCCATTGATATTCCATTAAATAAGAGAAAGGTGCACTGAACTTCACAAAGCAGAACATACCTGGAAGAGCCTGAGGGCTTTTACCAAGCAGCCAACTTCATTTTTTAAGGAAAACACAACAGCTGTCTTGCCTCCTTCATCCGCCTGGTTTTTTTCTTCAATTTTACTGAAAACAGTCCTGTTCTGTGTGAAAACAATAATGATTTTGTATAATATATTCAAGACATCTTATTGTGAGTTTATGATGATAACAGTAACATTACTGGTAAGAATTAGTTACATTTGTTACCTTGTCTTTCAGTGAAAACAAGCAAAATGTTTGCATTCTGATGACCCAGTTAACAGTCATTTCCTCATTACTGTATGGAGAAATATAAGGAGTCTTAACTTTTTAATCTCATTTTTTATCCAAAGTATGGTAAAAGTGATTCTTGGGGTCATTTCCATTAAATATTAAAACAAAACGCTCAGTATTTTTAAATGCTTAGCAACATGTGAAGCAAAAAACTTCATTACTAAACCAAGTCATGGTTTAGAATGCAAGATTTATACACTTGCTAATTCTTCAATTTATACGTATCCTAATAAGCACAAAGAAAAATAACATAAAATCATGATTCTGCATTCTGTGCATGAAGTTTAATGCATAAGACATTTTTTGTGGTGACACAATGAGCCTTTATGTAAAATATACTACTATCCTCAGTGAAGCTATTAAATGAACTATTCCCTAAATCGATGATTTTTTACACAGTAATGCCTTCTTACCAGGCAACCTAGAAAATACACATAGCTCAGAAAACACCTCAAAATATTGACAAACCTGCCTTGAATGAATGTTCTATTATGTCTCTCTACTAATATATATCATTATTGCAATGTATAGAAGAAGAAGAAAAATTTGATTGATTCATTGTGCAGTAACCTAAAATTTATATATTCTCGCCTTCTTTTCCATCAGCGAAGGCATTCTGGATTCATTCAATTTAGGAAAAGCAGCAGAATCCTGCAGAGGCGCCTGTTGGCTCTTCAAAGTATCAACACTGCCTCTCACAAAAGGCTGCCACACAGCAAAATGGCATATTATGTCTCACTTCAGCAAGTACAGAGAGGTTGCAAACTGAGCCCTAATGCCAGGAATTCATATTTTCTTTATCCGGCTTATTTGTTGCCTCAAATGTACAGAGGTAAAGATAAAGTGAAACTTTGAACAAATGTCCACTACATGATCCTAGCAGATGTGTACAAGAGCTCAGGGCAAGTACAGCCTAGTAGGCTGGAAGGAATTAATGCCTCACATATGTGATGGAAGCAAATGTCAGAATAGAACCTTCCAGTCATCCACCTGAAGTTGCCTTATGTTATAGAATCACCACACAGCATGTTACTTGTAGAAACCTTACTCAGTTATCCAAGTATAAAAAATATTTCTATTGCTTTGCCTCTAGAAAACAACATGAAATACTTACAGTTTGGTTTCCTAAGTGGTGGTCATCAAACATAGCAGAATCCAAAGAGAGACCTCTCCTAGCCCAGTATTTGCTAGAGAACATCATCATGGCTGGTTGCATTGCAAAGGCAAATGAGTGAATTCCGCAATCCGAGTAGAACTGCTGGAGAAAACGTTGCTGAGGTGGGGTTTTGTTGCTTTGCCTCTTCTAAGAAATCTCCCTACTTTATATACTGTCAAACCTGATGCAGATAAGAAGACTCTCCTCTCTCCTCATTCAACAGGCACGCTGACAGATCTAATCCGGACGCGTCTTTTTTGAAATATCAGTTCCTGATGTGTAAATAGGGACACCTTTAATGTTTTTTTCTTTGAATAGCCTCTGTGCTAATCTCTACTATCTACTGCATGGCAGTGCCAGTAAAGAGAAGCAGATAATTAGCTGCACAAAAACCACACAACAAAACAATCATGCATGGACATAAAGACATGTTTGGTAAGTGATGGTAGTATGCCCAGTTGCACTCTCACTTCTAAAACAGATTTCCCATGCTTGCAATTCTATTGCAAAATATCCATTCCTTAATTTACGGGATTTTAATATCTCAATATGGCATCTCCCCATCTAATCTATCCATTTTCTAAATGCTTTGTCCAGTTCAGGATCACAGGAGAGCCTGAGCCTAATCTGGGAAGCTACAGGTACAAGGCAGGACACACCCTGGACAGGACACCAGTCCACTGCAGGACACACGCAGACACACCAGGGCCAATTTTCCCAGAAGGCAATTAACCTACCAGTATTTCTTTGGACTGTGGGAGACAATGCACACAAACACAGGGGGAACATACTGTACAACATATATCCACACAGATAACACCCGAGGTCTGGAACTGAACCCAATTTTATGGGCTCCAAGAGTGGGAGGCAACAATGTCAACTGCTGCCACCCATCTCCCCAACCCCCCAAAAGAAATGTATAAAAACAGATCTTTAAAGTAGGAACACAATTTTATATACAATAGAATGACATAAACGCCTGAGGAGTAATTTCAGTTGTCTCCTCTGACACTATTTCACTATCTGTGCTGTAGAGAATCTAGAAACAGTAATAAACTGGGAAATATGCTTACATTCATTTGATGTCACATGAAGAGTGTCAATGTAGTGTAAGAAAGGTCCTTCAATATCACACATAAGAAGGTAAGGAAGTTTACAGTCTAAAAACCCAGGAATTCCATAAAGCTATTTCTTCCAGTATGACATTTCTCCTCAACACACAGCTGGTTCCAGACTCCTACAATCCTAAACATAAGGAAGTGTCTCCTGTTTTCTGTCCTGAATGTTTCAAATGTCCTTGTCCTCCATCCTTTGTATTGCTACAGATCTTGAAGTGGTTCCTTGAGGTAACTTGGTCAATGTCTTTCGGGGTTACGAATAGCTGACACAACTCCTCAATAGTCTTCTGTTTTCCAGTATTTACTGTAGTTATCTGTCTGAGTTTAATTTTTCTTTCAGATGAGAAATTAGTCAGGTTGCTCTCATTTGTACTGTCACTAGAAGAGTAATACTAAAATTGAACAACATATTCCAAGTAAGGTCTAATTAATGAATCATATATATATATATTACATTTTACAACTCTTTATTGTATAACCAAGCTCTTCATTGGCATTAGTTGTTCTGCTGCTATGTAATGCATTTATGTGTTATAAATGTAGTATGCTAGATCTATCCACATTGCATACAGTAAGTGAGCATAAGCCTTAGAACTAAGTATTTATTGATGTAAGCATACTGTAAATATAAGTAATATAAGTAAATATCCTTCCATCTAGCCATTTATTTTCTAGCCAATTAATCAAGTATAAGGCTACGGGGGACCCAGAGCATATCCCGGTAAGCAATGGTGGCAAGGTAAGATACACCCTGGATGGGACACCAGTCCATCGCAGGGCACACACAGACACACACTCACACAGGGGCCAGTTTTCCCAGGACCCAATTCATCTACCAGTATGTCTTTAGACAGTGGGAGGAAACCAAAGAGAACACGATGAGAACATGCAAACTCCACACACATAAAACACCCCAGGTCTGGAACTGAATCCAGGGCACTCGTGCTGTGAGGTAGCAATGCTAACAACTGTGCCACCCCAAGTACAAATTTATGATTAGTAATTTTTTGGATATTATGGGGACAAATCAAAACTGTTATTATTAACAGCATATCTGGTTTGAACATGATAAAGTCCAAATAAAGGAACAAAAAAGTATAAAAATATACTTTCTTAATTTTTGCACAGGTTTAGACCACAATGGTTTAGACTGCAATATGAAAAGTTTTTTTTTTGACTATAGCCAAGGCAGCAATTTTTTTTAATAAAAGTGAAGAAAGATAAAAGATAACTTTTAGCAATGTGAACAAAAAGCTATCAAACAAGTCTGAAGCAATTTCCTGTGGGACAGGAAATGAAAAGGCTTAGAGATGTACGTATGCCTCAGACACTTTGTTATGAATGTGACGGTACCTTATGAACAGATGAAAGATACTTTAGTCAACAAGCAGACCTTTTATATGATTTTTTAATACCTCAATGGTTTAACATCCTCACACAATCTGTTTCCAAGATGTAAGGAGAGTCGTGTGTGGTCAATAGATCTGAAAAGCTCACTTCAAGACATTTATTAGCAATTGAAATATGGAAAGAAGTAAATGTCAGGAATACTGTGAGGTATGTATAAAAAGAAATGCAAATACGTGTCGGGAAAAAAAGAAGTACACAAAAGTGAGCACTTTGTTATATTTTAAACAGAATGCATCAAGATGGTATACAGCCTTAAAATGTCATTTGTAAAGAGGGAAATGGAACAGTTACTTGGTTTAATCTTAGACTACTGCATGACAATCACAGTAGTCAATATTTTCAATAAACACAATAGCTCTTAATTTGGTCAATACAAGCCTTTAAAAAGAGCTTAAATACTAAGAAACTTGGAAAGACCAAAATGAGCTATAATATGTAATCTGTTTTGCTGAAGAATATTTTTAAAATATTATACAAAGCATAAAATTCAGGTAAAAATCTGCAGATAATTCTGGAGCACACTTGCAAACAAAAATATCAAACAGAACAATCATTAAAAATATACAAATATGTATATACACGCTATATTTCACGCATTGTATATCTAGACTAGTTGATTATATGGCATATTTGTTAAAACAAAAGTTTGAACACTTCTCAGTAGCCCCAGTTCTAGAATCCTCATGTCTGCTTATAGATTTTAAACTGGTAACTTTTAAGTCTCAATAACAGATGCTAATATACAGTGGAAGGGAGGACGTTTTATGCAAGATATCCACTTGAATGTATTCCCCAATTGCAAAGTCAAATACAGTATGTTTCAGAATACCCATACTCTATAGAATTTGGAAAGTTAACAAATAATCGTCACTAGTCCAAGAGGAAGTCTGGGCTTGGGGGGTGGATAATGCAATTGTTCAAGCTCATACTGGTGAGTAGTGTCCTGTGCATCTGTGGCCTTATGAACCTGTACCTTTTTATACAGGTACAGGTACTTGTACAACCATTTTCTCAGATGCTTTTACACTGCCAGATCAGCAATTATAGTTTTGTTAAATATGCAAATGAGTGTCAACACTTTTTTTGAATTTCAGAAGATACTTCCCAAGTCCCGAGAAAGTGCTGAGGAACACCCGTAGGGCTAGAAATGGCAGGTGTTTGATTATTGGTCTCAGAGTCCCAGTGATAAGCCTATGTCACCAGTAACAGATGAAACAAACTCCACAAGTTCAGTGCTGAAGAGGTAACTGACTGAACTGTCGCTGCTGACAATTTTATGAAGTGAGAATTTAGATCACCCATCTGGCCCAAACTTGACATGCTACAGTATGTGTTTCAAGGCCTGAGCTTTAGTGCTTTCAACGCAAATGCAAGATTGCTGCAAGTTCAGAAACCTGCTGTCAGCAATCAGATATCTTATTTTCAACAGCAGAGATTGTTTCTAGACTGGTCCCATGAGAGAGTCATCTTCAAGCCATTCTTTGCAATGTTTAAAATTCCATTACATCACTGTGGAATAATGAGAGGCTGGTTCCTGCAACAGAGCAACCACAAATTAATGGATCTGTACATATACTGTCCAGTGCCTACAGAAAGTACACCCCCTAATTTTTCACTTTGTCAAGTTACTACCTCAAAGGGTCATGCATGTAAATAAGGATTTCTTCCTCTTATCTACACACCATACTCCACCCTTTTAAGGTGAAATATTTTCTTATTTGGAAAACAATCATGTTTAAAATACCAAACTAACATGTCGTTAATTGGATAGGTCCCCACCCCTGAGTTAATACTTGATGGAAGCACATTTGGCAGCAATTACTGCAGTAAATCTGTACCATCTTTGTACACTGAGGTTTGGCAATATTTGAAAATTCTCCCTTACAAAACTGTTCAAGCTGTCAAGTTCTTTGGGGAGCGTTGATGGACAGCAGTCTTCAAGTCATGACAGAAATGTTCGATTTTATTTCGATCAGTGCTCTGACTGGGCCGCTCAAGGGTATTTACCTTTTTGTTCTTTAGCCAATGGAGTGTAACATTGGCTGTGTACTTCACTTCATTGTCATGCTGAAAGGTGAACTTCTGTCCCACCTCAGCTTTCTGGCAGAAAGCAGCAGGTTTTCCTCAAGGACTTTTCTGTACTTTGCTCCAGTCATTTCCCCAAAGTGGGAATGGTGCACATTTGGTGATTTGCTGTTTTGAGTATGTGCCAACATTGTGTGAATTCACTGGCACAATTTAGAAACTATAAGAATCTAATTGCATTAGATTTTTATTGGCTATTATGAATCAATCGACAGAATAAGCAGCCTGCACACAAATTCAAAATACAATATGCTAGTATTTAATTGATACAAATAAGCATGTGTATTTAAGAGCAAAAGTCATAATATACTTGAAACAAACATCTGCCTATATAAAAATGTGTAATCATTACTTGAGAGTAACCAAAATAGAACAGATCAGGATAAAGTAGAGAAACAAATAATATAAGGATTAAACATTAAACACTGGTTATAATTTATTGTTCGCCACTTGGTCTCCTTTAACTACTCAACATTTAGATACTTAAAGATAAGTAAATACTCTAGCCTAATCAGTCACTGGGGGTTAGAAACTTGGTGTGCTCCCAGGAGTACCTGCTACTTCTGAACATACAGTATATTCAGTTGTGTCAACCAGATTAACTCTAGTTATCGGGCAAAATGGCCAACTAGTTTAGTCACAAGGTCTCGATGCACTGAGAAACGTGGGCAGAATTCTGCTTTACACAGCGCTATTAACATCGCGTCTTGGATAAAGGTTTAAGCTCTGAGTCTCAGTGGCGGCACTCACTCAGACTACCAACCGGTCTAAGCTTTTTACTGCAGGGAACTCTGCATGGGTTGACCATGCTTTGTGTGATTGCGTCTCTAAATCTGTACTATATTACAAGGTGTTGCTGCTACAACGTAATGCTTTGCATTAAGGCCCAAAATGGTCCACTGCATTTTCGGCAGACCACAAAACATTTTGAAACATGTTTGCAGTATCACTATCATAATGCTTGGCTGTTGTATATTTGTGTAATGGTTTCTTTCTTGCCCCCCTACCATAAAAGCTAAATTTGTGGAGAGCTTAGGATAGCTGTGCACACTTTGACCAGTCTTGTCCATAAATGTCTGTATTTTTCAAAGTTGCCACTAGCCTCTGGGCAGCCTCCCTTTCTTGCTCAGCCATCCAGTTTAGAGGTACTGTATATATTGATCTGGGCAGGGTATTGGCGGCTGCATATGCCAGTCACTTCCTAACAACTGTCTTATCCATGCTTCCAAGGGCAATTTAAAGCCTCTGTTTTCTTTTTCTACCCATCCCCTAACCTGTGCCTTTCCACAATTTTATCCCCAAGATCTTTCCTTGATGCTCATAGTGGAGTATGCCTTGAAATGCACTACACAGCAGAAGGAACCTACAGCTATTGCTGAACTTAGCATAAAATGAGTGAATTAATTTAACAAAAGAGGAGGCCAATTGCCTTGGTGTGCGATTTTGAAGATGAATGGTTACACCTGAGCTAACGTGGGATTGCTTTTACAAAGGGGGTGAACATTTATCCAACAATGCATAAAAGGGGTGTAGATTTTCTATAGGCACTGTATGAACAGGTAGTTTAAGATCCAGTCATATCCTGCTAGTTGAACTACATTTTATTATTTTTAAATACCCATGATAATCATGTTTAAGGCATTTTATACTTGCATGTTATTTTGTCACAAAATGACTCCACAGGAAATATTTCCTACAACCAGAGCAAACCTTATCCTTGTAGATGTATACAATCATTATCAAAAGCAACTACACTCCAAAATTAAACATTATACCCTATCCCAGTTTAGTACATCACTTCCGTGATCAACATGATCCAAATTTCCCAACTGTTCCATCCTATTTATTTTAAATTTAAAACAGTCAACTATGTTAGATCCACCAAAATTTAGAATTGAATTCTGAAATAAATGACTAAAAAAAGAAAACAAAACAGTAAGCCGTAACTTCTTTGAATATAAACTCCCTGTGCTCGACATTTAGAATTGTAATTTGTTGATGAAGAGGAATGATGATTTAGAATGAAAAGGAAAGTATGGTACAAGAAATTACAAAAATAATTAGATCTGCAATCTCTTATGATTCTTGCTTCTCTTTTTATACTCAATAATGCCAAAGTAGAAGAAACGCTTAATTTACCTCATCTGCCAACAAATACTGCCACCAGTCAAACCCAACATCTTTATGATAGGTGAGGAAACAATAGTCAATTGTGTAAAGACTACTTTGTTTATTACTATGCATGTGGCAAACTGAAGACAACTTGTGCAGGTTCTCTTGACTGTCCATCTCTGTCAAGGGGAACAGAGCTCTGGTTTGGTTCCACAGCATGCATCATTTTGGAGGTCTGTTTCACAGGAAGTGTCTTTTGCTCACTGCTCTCTGCTGCAGGATTTAATGCTTCACTTTTCACTCCCAGAATCTCACACACGGCACTTGGCAAATCCTAGAAAACAAATATAAATGATTATGTAATATATGTTACGCGTCCAGCTGCAATTCACATAGTTAAAGGGTCACTGACAGGCTAGGGACAATCTTAGCTACATCAAAGTACTTAACACCAGTTCTCAAGCTTTTCTCTGCATCTTCCCTCTGGCACACCTAGCCTTAGAAAAAGCTGTACAGCTTGTAAGTTCCAAGAGACGCAGCATTCTAACAACAACAGAGCATAACCGTATTTAGCTTTTAAGCTTCATTAACATAAATCTGTTTGTAGCAATTTAAATTATTATATGTCAAATATCATATTTTACCCATTATGTTAAGATGCTCTTTTGAACATTTTTAAAATAACTTCCTTTGAACATACTTATACTTGATTTGCTTTCTTTTATTTAAGAGCAAGTTGTAAGTTGTAAAGACGTGCACCCTGTATGAAACCAACTGACAACATACAGAAAAAATATCTACTCATGCAAACGTTTTACAAGATTCTTCCATTTCCTTGTTTTTATTAATTCATTGTAACCACTATAACAACCTAGAGATTTCCAGCTTTTATGTTTTATCATGTGGATGATAAAAAAGTGTAGTTTAAGCTTCATAAGAACACTTTCTTTTTTCTCTGTTAAACATAACTACAGTATTCTAAAATGTTTTTTAGCATAGTTTTTAGTGAATGTTAATAGCTTCAAAGCCAAGCAAAAAAGACTCTTATTTATAAAGTATTAGATGAAGATTGAGATAAACTTTATTTATTTACTTTCATTAATAATAATGCCGCCTTATACTTGTATAGAACTTTTCTGGACACTCCACTCAAAGCGCTATACAGGGGACTCCTCTCCACCACCAATATGTAGTACCCACCTGGCAGCCAGTACACCAGCTATCAGTGGGGAGGAGAACAGAGTAATGAAGCCAGTTCATAGATGGGGATAATTAGGAAGCCATGATTGGTAAAAGCCAATAGTGCCTTTCTACAGTATAGTGAGCCATCACTTTACTGGGGCATTAGGAACCACACAGATCGCAGAGTGAGCAACCCCTACTGGCCACACTATCACCTCTTCCAGCAGCAACCTTAGTTTTTCCCAGGAGGTCTCCCATCCAGGTACTGGCCAGGCTCACACCTCTTTAGCTTCAGTTGGTTGTCAGTTGTGAGTTGTAGGTGATATGGCTGCTGGATCATTGTTTAAGATGGGCTTGCATACTATCTATAAATACATTGGACATGTTCAAGAAGTTACTTGAACCCAGGCCTGCTAGTACAGAAGTAATAAGATGCTGTGAGCAAAAGAACAGATGCTTTTGAAAAATTAGGTTGACCTCTGTTTGTTGTGAGTGACTGCCGCTGAAGCACTATAATGCAAGGAACATGCACTAAATATGAAACTGTTCATGAAAGACTTTATGCTTATGACAGTTTTGATGCCGGCATCCTTTACTTTTTTGTAACCTGTTTGTATTTTTCCATCCCTGGATTGCAGTGTGATTAATTCTCCTTCCACTGCACAATTTTCCAAATCTAATCCATTTCAGATTTTGAACAGCATCCAGTAATCATTTTGACACCTTCTGCCTATGAATTGAGTAGACCATGTTATAAGATTATTAGATCTTTTTTTTCCCTCTCTTCATTCTTACTCACCACTGCTGCATTTTAAAATCCCAAACAAAAATTAAAATTATGCCATATAATTACCAGGACTTACCATTTGAAAATGTATACTTTAACAACATAAATTAAATGGGATTATCTTTTTCATTTTAAAAAGAAAACTTTTCCAATGTTAAAAGACAGATGTAAATATGAAAAGAAAGTAAAACACCCCTCTCATTTATATTTGGCAAAATTAGTAAATCAGTTCACTTCTTTTAAGTAACAAATAATTAAACATTTATGTATGACAATGACATACCTTACAATTTTTAATCTGTAGGCAAATAGCTTCTGCTTTCTGAAGAACCTCTTCCACATCCAGTTTCATGGAAAGCTCATTTATGTGCTGTTTGAAAAAAAGCACTTTTGTCATTTTCACAACAAAACCAAATGTATAAAATATAGCATTAAGAACCTTACTTGTTACAGACATCACACATTCTCAGTAAAGAATTTCCATTTGTAACCACAGCTGAAAAACTGCATGGTTGACATGCTGCCCAGAAGTGTTTATAACTGTGGAGCATATATCATAAGAACTGACACTGCAGTTATGAATTCATAAAAAGACCTAGATGAAATTCAGATTGCCATGATTTTAAAAAATCTTTTACATCAAACTCCCATGAAACCAAAGATTAACAATCAAAGCACAAGTACTGAAATTATTGGAAAAGACAAACATCAGAATACTGTCCCATTTCATCAATTTGTTTTGTGAATTACATCAAGTACAATATAAACCCCAGATAAATCTTTAATTTCCATAATCATAGACATAGACCATAAGAATGACAACAAGGAGGCTGATACTCAAACTAAAAACCTACTTGTGTCCTAAGACATAAAATATTTGTGACATGGAGCATGCAGAAATCCTCTTTGGAACAAGTATTTTGTAGACTAAATACATACAATCAAATTAATCTGAGCCAGAAGCCTTCTACAAGGGTTCCTTTTGCTTCTCAACTATATAATACTATTATTAATTCTAACAACAAACTTAAATAAATAATTAACAACTATAAAACCTGACTCAGTCAATGACCCAGAGATTCTAGGAGACACAGTTAGAGACGTTATGAAAGTTACTTCTACAGTATTTGCTTCACAATTGCCTAAATCTCATTTTAGAAAATTACTGAATTGGAAAATGATTTGGCTTTTCCAGAGCATGCTCAATAACTCATTTTCCCTGATGCCACTGCAATAAAAAAAGAAAAGATTTAAATTCATTGCTTAGACATCATTCTCAGTTTCTTGTACATAAGATACGTGCACAATTATTTTAATGGAAGTCAATCCAGCCATTTATTGTCTTTGAGACTCCACAGAAATGAAAGTTTTGGAGATATTCCTGCCATCAGGTCAGAACAGAGGGAGTTACTGGCAGATCCCAAATAGATAAACTTCACATTATACATCTTATCTAAATGGACATTCAAACTGATCAAGATAATTTGCAAGAATTGTCTATGTGCCAACTGTACCAGACACCAGCAGTGGTGATTATTTTTAGCATAACGAAGGCTATACAGAAGATAGATTCAACAGTTTATTGCAATGTCAACAAAGCTGATTGGAATTTGCCCCAGTGCAGGCTAAAGAAAAGCATCAAAAACAGAAATTTTAGACTTACTCATACAAAGAACACATCATTCAGTTGATTTAAGACTCAGGTTAAAGCAAAAAAACATGCGGCAACTCCCAACACATGGTAAAATGTTTAGGTTCTCAGGTTTGGAAAGAGTCTAGAACAGTGGTTCTCAAACTTTTTGGACCAAGTACCACCCCTAATCCAACCAAAGCATCCAAGTACCACCTGCAAGTCATCTCATAGGAACCCCAGAAATTCTCAATGACCAACATGAGCGCATGTGCACACACACTCACACATACATATAATAAATATTATAATAATAAACTTTGTTTGATATATTAAAATGTGGCTTCTCAAAGTGTTTTACAGAAAAAAAACAACACATAAAAATAAAAAAGCACCATTTCAGTGAAGGGGGGAGCCTGTTTAGTTGAGCAAAGCAGATGCAAATTAATTTTTCGAGCCTTGATACAATTCACAACATTCTAACAGATTTTAAACCATTAAGGCATTTTCTTGACGGCAAAGGTCTCGCGGTGGATGTTGCAATGAAACCATTAATTTCTGGAGCAACCTCTAATTCGTGCAACTACACCGCTGTTTCGGCTTGTCATTGCTATAGCACCGTCTGTACGAACTCCGACACATTTTATCATGTCGATGCCATTCTCTTCGATACATTAATTCAGAAGCTGAAATACGTGCTCTCCTGTAGTTCCTGTTGGTAGCGGCTCACAGAACAGAACATCCTCACGGGACGTACCCTCAAACTCGTATCTAACGTAAACGAGCAAATTGGCCAAATCGACTACAGACTCATCTAATAACTTCCATCTTAACGCGCTCTGTCAGCTTACTTTCGATATCATCCTTAATTTCAATAATTCTATGAATGACTGTGTCTTTCGGGGGGGCAGCAGGTCGAGCTGTTCAGCAGCTTTTTCTCCACACATAATATTGTGGGGCTTACCTGCTTTAGCAATCCGCAAGCTTGCATTTTTCCACGTTTCCGTTTTTATTTCAGTGTTTATTTTAAGTATTTATTTCATGCGCATGGGAGAGAAACAGAGAGACGCTCTGTGTATTTTTCTCAAATTAACTTAGAACAGTTCTTAAATATTTTTCTGTTATTTTTCACGCTTTCCTGTGCTCACAAGATTACCAGCATTTGTAGCACGCATTTCTATGCATTCCTGTGTTTACAACGTTGGCATTGTTCCAAAATCACGCACATTCTCCTTTCTCCCTATTTGCTGGAGATACAGTAGCTTTTTTTAAATACAATTGGTCACTTGCGTCCGTAGCACACATTCCTATAGAGTGGTATAGAATTACAGAGTATCTCTTGTGTACACTGAAGTATTAGCACGCACTGTATCGTAGTACGTAGACTGCGTATTCGACACGTAAATATGAAAACCCGTCCCGATTTTTTCAGCGCATACAACAAAGTTCCAGGGTCATTTGGCGTACCACCTGGCGGCACGCCACGTACCACTGCAGGTACGCGTACCACAGTTTGAGAACCACTGGTCTAGAAGTACTAGCCATTTAAGCTGCTTCTACAAAGCTGCAGTAAATAAAGCACATTTTCTATATCCCATTGTCCTGAGAGTCATTTTTACCACAGCACTATCAAAACACAAGTACAAAAATCATAACAGAATGCTTTTTTTAATTTGACAGGTGAAAATTGCTCATTGTATTCAGAAAAACTGTTTTGTGCAAACACTACAGCAAGAATCGACATTTCATTTATGCCCATTCTGTTACCACTTTCACTACTCTCCAACCTCCCAGAAAACAATGTGCACTCACACCAAAAACACAAAAGGGAGAAACTGAAAACTACAATCCACAGGATTTAAAAAAATCATCATATATTCTATACATGAGCATCCATATTTGCCATTTATGCCTTGCATCAGTATCTTTAACTTGTTTCTTAATTTGCCAAATACACTATTTACATTTGCATACCTACAGACCACATTTCTTCAAATTACATTATATACATTGATATTATATTAGTTTTCTGAATATAACGGTGCCATGGTAGCTCAGATGGCCAGGGCGTCTAGCTCCTGACCGGTAGGTCCTGGGTTCAATCCCAGGGCAAGCGATGTAGCTTGCTCTAATTCCTCCCAGACGGCTCCCAGGTCCACTCAGCCTGCTTTCCAAATGAGTACCGGGGGTTAATCTTTCTGGGGGTTATAGGCCGGCCGGAGTGTGATGCTGACCACATCACCTCCACCTCCAGTGTTGAATGGTTGAGAAAAATGGTGGCCCTTGCCCCCCATTCCCCCATGGGCCTTTAATGGCCTGAAAAGGGGATCTAACCTACCTACCTTTCTGAATATAAAAGTTAACTTTCAGTGCAAATGTGGCATTGTTATATAAGATTGTACTAATGTGAAATTATACTATATACCTCCATCTGAGTACTTTATGCTGATCTGGCTTTTACCATTAAAAATATTTGTCATTCTTTTATCTTTTGACATTTAACTAAGAAACAGGCTAAGGGAAAAACTGCAGTGTGTGATTTTGTTTTTTATTCACAGAAAAGCCTAATAACAAACCTATACAGAACTTTTCACTTACAGACAGTTCTTAATGCCTCTGCAAGGTTTGGTCCACAACAAATAAAAATGATTAATAAAAAATCATTATTATTAAGAAATGAATTCCACAGTGAAAGTTCAAGAGGATGAAGCACTCCTGATTCAAAAGGCTATTTCCTTTATGTAAATTATGGAAATCAGGCCTTCCTTCCCTTGACCTCAGTCCAACATTCGTCTGGCTCACCCCCCTTGTCCACAAAGGCAGGTTCTCACCTGCCTTGTCAAGCAAGCTGTTCCCCTGAAACAGTACTGGGACATTTTACATAAGTGTTTGTGCTTTTAAATTATCTGCCATTCAAGTTACGCGAGAGCAAATCTAGATGTATTTGACTCGAAAAATGCTTCTAAGTGGATGTCTGGCCCCATTGCACTGGCAACCCTTAGGAATAGCAAATAGTAAACTAAGATTACAAAATTGTCAATTTATATGTTATTTTATAGATTGCCTGATGCCACCAGTAAATTTATAGAAGAACCAGTTTATTTATATTTTATAAATTGCTGATAAAGCTATACATTTTACCAGTTATTTAAGAACTTTACAAACTTTCCAAATAAGTTATAACAAACACAACAAATAAACCTAGCACACATTCATATATACATTGTTTTCTATTATCATCACACCCCAAAGCACAACATCATACATCATACATCATCAAAAGGTTTTGAAGCAACATTTGAGAAATAACCAATATCACTAACTGTATTTGCCAAATACTGATGGAAGCAGTGCCATGCAATTTATCAAGGCTGATAAATTGATATCTGCGGAGAATCAAAACTGCAAAATTTATTTTTCTACAAATAAGTGATTTTATCTCTTTTATGTTTGAATATGAATATGCAAACATAAAAAACACCAAGAAAAAGCAACAAATATAAAAGGTCTCCGCAAGGAGATATAAAATTGTAATCCATTACAGCCAACTGTAAAGCATTAAATAGTCAGATGAATTGTAGCATCATCACATTCAGTTAAGTGATCCTGTGATGAATTCAAAGAAGCGTATCCTGCAGAAGAAGCTATACAGTTAAAACAATTTGACACAAATGATGGAGTGCTCATGTGCATTTTCATCTTATGTAAAAACATATGTGCATTGCTCATGCCAAATGAGAAAGGGCCAACCACCCTGTTTCTGGTAGAGAAGTTCAACTTACTCGAGCAGATACTTTCCACGCACAGAAAAGGAAATGAGAAGGGAAAGGGATATAAAATACTGGGGAAAATCTGGCAGAGAACAAGTATATGAGAGAATAGCACCTGGAAACTCATGCTTTGTCAGGTGACCTGGTGTACCTGAGGCTATCACAGCACAGGCTCATTTACATTTGCACTTTGTTTCCTTAAGAAACTGGGCATGGATTCCTAGTGCATTACATCATTCTTACATATTCAAGGATTTACTCTGTCCTTCTCTGAGATGGTATTTGTCAGCATCAGATCCAATTCTCTCAACTTTCTCCTCCAATCAAACACTGAAGTGCACAGTCACTTCAAGAGGTCTTTACACCACAAACTAGAGTCCCCCAATGATGTATACCGTAACATTCTGAAAACGGAATTGAAAAGGAAAACACTTATTACCTTTAGAATTTCATTAAATCCATAATGTTCATCCATTATTTTCTGCTTCTCGGAATCCAATATAGCACAACACACAAGAAGATGAAAGTTTTGACAGGGCAATCCAGTCCACATAACCTTGAACAAAAATAGCTTAATTCATTACAATTGTCATAAGTTAAGACAGTGGTCACAGTTTTTATCCAATTGTTTTTCTTTATTTAATCACTTTAGAAAAGGTAGATCTTGAGTATGAAGTCTTACTTGGCTAAACTGTTAGATTTGTTCAAAGCAAATAATAGACATTAGATATGGTATTTTTAGATTGATTCCCTAGATTTTTATAAAATTCAGCATAAAAGATTTTTAAATGATTGTAAGTAGCATAAACATTAACGTGCTTAAAATAAAAATGGGTTAATGGATAGAAAACAGAAAGAACAGAACAGAAGGGGCAAATGCTCAAAATGGTATAATTAGTGGAATACCACAAGGATCTTCAAAATTTCTATCAATGATGTACTTTATATAACAGTCTGTAAAACGCTGCAGTTTGCAGATGATACCAAAATAGAAGATAGGAAAAAGGCTCTATAAAGAAAAATTCAAAAAGATTTCAGGAAAGGTCAAAAACCTGACAAGGACACAATGTAGGTTTGTGTTCTAATTATATCACAATTAGAATACCGTGCACAAATATAGTGACACAAAACATATTGCAACTCTTGAATTCATCCAGTTGCATTGTAAATACAAATCCATTCTTCTCCTACACTGAGAGACTAAAATAACTAAACCATTTCAGTCTTAAACTGTGAAGATTACAAGGGGGGCTGATCCAGGTTCTCAAAATCCTCCAATGCACTGGGAAAATTAAATCAATTTGCTTTGACTTTGGGTAGCTTTGGGTGGAAACCTACTGTATGTGCATATGTTAGTAAAAAAAATGACAACAGGAGGCACTTTTTACACAAAGGTCTGGATCAAGCCACCCAGCAAAATCGTTTAATCTTTTTTCAAGAAATGGCAGGATGAGAACCTTGGAATAATTAGCTGCTAAGAGAGCTACATATAGATGAGCTAAACAGCTTCCTCTTGTTTGTAAGCCTTCTTCTGTTTGCAAGCTTTCTTCAAAGAAAGAACAGCAAAGAATGTATTTTTTACACCAGCTGAAAAACTTTTGTGTCTCTCAACCAATTCTGATACAGTTTTACTGAGAGTATTCTGACTGCCTTTTTAATTATTTGGTTTGTCAACAAGTCTGCCTGCTCCAAAGGCAAACTACACTGTGTTGTTCATTCTGCATTTACTGTCATCTGCCCTCCATTGATGTTTTCAGAGTACGGCAGCAAGCAGGAAAGATTGCTGATAACCCACCCAGGTTATTGCCTGATTTATAAACTTCCTTTTAGAAGATGCTACCAGTCTATTAAAACTAGAACCACATGGTATTTGAACATCTTCTTTCCTATGACTCTCTTTTTGCTTCACCAGAACTCCTAGTTATACGAGAACTGTCTTCAAGATGTCTATTAGTTTTGTTTGTGCATGTTACATGTAAAATGTTTTTGCACTACCAGAAGTATACCAGAAACGGAAGTATACCAGAATAAATTCCTTGTACATGAAATATACTTGGAGAATAAAGGTGATTATGAATATTTTATTTTTCTGTTATCTTGTTATTCTATATCTTGAACGGTAGTGTACTATTTCACTGCTATTTCTGCAACATTTTATCACTCCACTTACTGTACTATGGTATACAGTTACAACTACCAATAGAATTTTACATATTTTTATTTATATAAGCCATCTTGGATAAAGCTGTCTTTTTAATATTGTTAATACTTTGGGTTTTGCTGGTCATTAGTTAAACAGTTTGCTTAATAAAGGCAGATGAATAGAAGAAAGCATCTCTATTGCTGATAAAATATTGCCTTTTAAAAAATCAGGATGAATTCTCCTGCACTTGAAATAATGCCTTAAAGCCTTTATTGATCAAAGCTACTCAATCAATCGGGGTAGCTGCTTATCCACCCAGTGTAACTTTACAGAACTTAAACTGTTCTTAAAATCTGTCCGTGTTGATCTGTATGGGTCTAAAAACGCACGATAAACCCCCATTTCAAAATTATAAGTTGATGTATAGATCCAACATCCAAAGTTCATCTCCAAGGCTTTCCAGTTGCTTTTATAATAATAATAACAGTCTTAAACTGTTTTTTTTTTGTGTTTTATGCCACGCCAAAGTATCAAATTAGTGGGAACAGCAAGAATTACATAGATAAACAAAGGAAGAAGCTATTTCAGGTTCTGTATCTGGGCATAGGCAGTGATCTGCCCAATTTGTTGGTAACCATAGTCAAAACACACAAATACCAAGCATCAAAAACCTATCACTTATTTTTTATAGAACACATAATGGTACATTGATTACTGCTAGTATTGTGTGTGACCACTAGAACCAACAGAAGATCCATACTTGGTAACATATGCTTTACATCTTGCTACAAATGATGTTTTGTGTAATTCTGTCCTGTTCCTTCTCAGAGCCTAGACAAGTATGTGCTTGATTTAGTCAACAAACTGATGGCACAAAAGTACTATTCTCTTCATAAGAGAAGCATTTTGGAGTTTTTGTTTCCTGATATTCATCATACTTGAGATTCAATAAGATAAATCACCCTATAACATTTTGCCAATTAACTCACTAATTAGGTGATTTCATGTTTGGGGAACACAGCTGTATCAGATCACTCATGAACGATTAAATAATCAAAACGACATCAAAACCATTAAATCAATTTTCAAAATTCACTTTACTAAGGCCATGCTTGCATAAATAAAGTGATACGGTTTGTTTGATGCCCAGTATACACTTATATATATATTAACTATCTATTTTCACTCATAAAATTTATAGATTTTTCTAAGTTTCTAAGCCTATTTCTCTTGACTGGGACCTTCACAAAACCTTTTCAAAAGAACCTTATTTCAGATTTTCGGTTTCTGGTAGAGGAAACTAACAATGTTTTCATTCAATTCAAACTAATTAATAAAATTGACAATGATTCCTAAAATTTATTAAACAACACAGAATCAGACTGTTTTCTTTAACCTATCTTTAATTGAGTCCATTAGAAAATGGTTTATTTGCTGTGCCTCAGACAGAGCAAACAGTCAGATTTACAGACTCCTGTGGGAAATAAAAGCAATGTGTTATCAGAAAGTCCCATTAAGGGTTACTGTGCTGAGATGTCAGATTTGATAAATTTGCCCGAGTTACAGGTTTTCACAAAGAAACCAGTATGGATGGCTGTGTTGTAAAGTTAAATCTCAGAAACGAAATGGGAAGTGAAAAAAATGTTAACTTAGATATGGTTAAGGGATAGATTTGTAATGTAAATGTTTCTAACCTCCCAAAGACGCAACACATCCTGGAAACTGAATTCTCTTTTGAAGCAAATCAGCAGCCACCGAAAACAGAAATAGAGGTATCCTGAATCTTGAGATTCTGAAAAAGAAAACCAGATACATTTAGATATTGAGGTATTTTTAAATATCTTAGTATGTTCTTTTTAATTTGTGTACCTTAACATACAATGCCTTGCAAAAGCATTAAACCCCTTGGACTTTTTCACACTTTATTGTGTTACAGCATGGAACCAAGATGTATTTAACTGAGAATTTGTGCCACTCATCAACACAATGTACTCTATAATGTCAGAGTATAAAACAAATCCAGACATTTTACTAAATTAATTAAAAATAAAAAACAGAAAATAATCTAATTCATATGTATTCACCCTCCCCTCCTCCCCCAAGAGTTAATACTTGGTAAGACCACCTATGGCAGCAATTACAGCTGTAAGTGTCTTCGGGTAAGTCTCTATCAGCGTTGCACATCTTGCCACTGGAATTTTTGCCCATTCTTCTTGGCAAAATTGCTCAAGCTCCATCAAGTTGGATGGGGACCATTTGTGAACAATATTTAAGTCATGCCACAAATGCTCAATTGGATTGAAGTCTGGACTTTGACTGGGCCACTCCAGGACATTAACCTTTTTTAAGCGACTCCAGTGTGGCTTTTGCTGTATGTTTCGGGTCATTGCCCTGTTGGAAGATGCATCGGTTTCAAAGTCCCAGTGCTCTTGTGGATTGCAGCATGTTTTCCTCCAGGATTTTTCTGTACTCAGCTCCATCCATTTTTCCTTCTATATTTATGGGTTTTCCAGTTCCTGCCACAGAGAAGCATCTCCAAAGCATGATGCTGCCACCACCATGTTTCACTGGAGGGATGGTGTTCTCAGTGTGATGTGCTGTGTAGGGTTTGTGCCAAACAAAGTTCAATTTCGATCTCATCAGACCGTAGAATCTTCCTCCAAATTGTTGAATCTTTCACATGCCTTTGGGCAAACTCCAGCCGAGATACGATATGAGTTTTTTTCAATGAAGACTTTCTTCTTGCCACATTTCCGCACAAGCCAGATTTATGAAGTGTGTGTGCTATTGCTGTCTCATACACAGTTTCTCCCATATCTGTCATGGAGGACTGTAACTCACACACCTCTTGGTGGCCTCCCTTGCTATGGCTCTTCTTGCCCGGACACTTACTTTTGGAGGTTTATTTATTCTGAAATCAGGTGAAACACCTCAACTGTACACAGGCGGCTCCAATCAAGTAATTATGTGACTTGGAGAAGAGAGTTGGTTACTTCAGAGGTAAATTTAGTCAAAGCAAGGGGTGAATACTTATGCATTCAATTATTTCTGTTCTTTTATTTTTAATTAACTTAGGAAAATGTCTGGATTTTGTTTCACTTTGACAATATAGAGTACCCCGTGTTGACGAAAATTATTTTGATGAGGTAAATACATCATGGCTCCATGCTGTAACAATAAAATGTGAAAAAGTCCACGGGGGGTGAATACTTTTGCAATACACTGTACATATAACAAGAACATATGAATTGGAGAGGCCAACCACACCATTTTTACTAAGACAGATATCACACAAACAAGACAAGACATAAACACAATACCAAGGTAGTTCCAGAATGTAATGTCTAGCAGTCGCAGCAACGTGCTGAGCTGAATCAACTGGGTCTTCATTCCCTGCATCTGCTCTTCAAAATTCTGGTGCTGTAAAAATGATTTTTTACAGAAAGTTTTAGACGTGAGCAACGAATAGTCACTTAGAGTTATTAATAACTAGTCCCAACAAAAGCTGTAGTACAGAATCAGCACTTATGGTCTAGATGATGAAATCAAGAAAGCCATCCGGGCAAAGCATCAGCAAAATAAAATTTTATCAGCCTACACCAAACAGTCTAAAAGAGAGAAACTAATAAACTGAAGCTGACCTGTGATACCTCAATAGTTCTACATGGTTTCAATTCCATTTTTTTGAAAGTATCATCAGGTAAAGAAAATCTGATGTTTCAAAAACTGCCAATTAGTAGAGTTCCTAACTTCCATCAAGTAATAAAAGAGAAGTTACAAATATTGAACCTGAAGTGAACTGCTCATTATTAACTGTATCTTAACACACCAAAAGACCTAACAGTGTTATAATGACAGGACTGCATTAAAAGCACCAATATTTTTTTAGATAAAAAGATAATAAATTATGAATTTAGTCAATTAAGTCAAACAGCTTAATTCTAACATTTATACCTTTCTCCATGATCTCATTTTATGACATCAGAATCCCACTAATACATTTTAATAAACTCTCGATATAAATGAGTTATTAAACCATTACCATTTGTTCCATGAAGGACACAAAGCACCAGAAGGCATCCACTTCATTTTCCATTACATAGAGAATTGGGGAAAGCAAATCACTCATGCCCTGGACATAGCCTTGTGGAAAAACAAAATAAAAAAGCATCATGTACGGGATGCTAAAACGTTGAAATAGTCTTATTCTGCAACCAAAAAAATTATTGTAAAAAAATCAGGTTGCACAAAAGAATTCTTCTAGTATTCTACTTCTAGAAGAAAATTAAGTAAAAATACTTTTTGGGTATGCATTACCAGTCATTAAATACTAGCATCCTGCTTCTGTAACAATGTCAATCACTATTTTAAGTATATTAAATATATTAAATTTGAAGAATTTATTCAAGCAAGTGTCTGTTAGGATTGACTGTATCCAGTGAATACTTACCAAGGTCAAAATCATACATACAATAGGTCATCAATATATCGTGAAGTAAGATCAGTCCTGGGTTATCTGGACCCTCATAAAATGTGTTGGTTCTGTCTGTTCTATTAACATCTTTTTCTAGGAAGAGCAAAGAACAATGTTTAGAATGCTAAACAGCTGAAACATCTAATAAAATGCTAGAAGCATAAATATCTGTCCTTTTTAGGCAACAATAACGTCCTCTAAATGTGTAAAATTAGGATAAGAAATAACAAAAAAAGACATGAGTACAAATGTGGACTTCCCTATCTTTCTTACACCCAAAGAAGGCTCCGTGGCCGAAATGTTGTGCTTTCTTTCTTGTGTCACATTTCCTGCAGGTTCATTCCGTCTCAAACTTAAACTATGTAATTGAGCAATTATGAAGTCAAATTTGCTCTGTGTCTTACTCAGGTGCTAGTAGGTTGGGACCTCTAAGTCTCAGAGAATGCTGGAACTGAAGAACTGAGCAGATTAAATAAAAACTGCTGAGAAAGTGGTGCAAACTACATCTGAATTTCAGGGTATTACAGATCCAACACCTGTGTTCAGGTAACTCTGAATACAACAGGATATTGACTGTAACATTTTAAGGGCTGAATTAGGAGTAATTTGCAAAGGAACAATTAAAGGTTTATTCCATACTGAAAAGAAACACAATGTTTCGGATGTGGAACTAATGAAAATATTTTTTTTTAATTTAATTCCATTCTGTTTGGTAATGGACTGTCTTGGTTCAGGAGTCACACGAAAATGGAAATTAAGTTTTTCCCGTCATCTCTTTATCATCAACATATTAAGCATGACTCCTCCAATGAATCAAGTGCATTGTATACTTAATTCTGTTTGGGAGAGCCTGAAACATTGCAAATTAACAAAGCATGTTATTCAATTTCTCTCTCTACAATTCTACAACCCCCTGGTATCTCGGGAGAAAAAAAAGATGTTTTTCAGTAACTGTTTCTGACCAGATCACAGAACATCCCTAACCTATTGGCAATTACAAATGATTATGTGGGTTCTGAAACATTACCAGGGGACAAGTATAAGAGATTCTCTTCCTTCCCTTGGGAATCAACCTACTGCAATGCCAAGTGATTCCATAGGGTTTCCCAATCCTGGTCCTGGAAGCTGACATGCCTGCTGGTTTACATTCAAGCTGAACTTAATTACTTCATTTGAACCCTTAAGTGAACTAACAAAATGCTCGATTGAAACAATTTGCTTTAGAAAGTTTATTCTACTTCAGTTAGTCTGAGAGTTCAAATTAATCCTATTATGAAGTCAACGAAGGGCTGTGTAAATGAGAACTTGGCTGAAACCAAAACCTGCAGGTATGTGGGCCTCCAGGATTAGGAACCCCTATTCTATGCAATAGCTTTCCTTTTTAGTTCAGAATATCATCTTCTAATTTTTCTGCCTGCATTTGTTTATTTTGAGAACTATACATACTCATAAGCTGGGTATTTAAGAAAGATTCATGCAGGACTTAAAGCATCAGAGCATCTATTATCCAAAGAGGTAAACTGCCCAAAAAGGTGCTGAAGTTCAAACTCTGGCATCCTTCATGAAGCACTTCAAAGAAATTTTAGGATGGTCTACCAATACTCTGCTCTCATTTTAAACCTTTATCAGTATGGCTTATGTGTTTGTTTTCCACACATCTTGTTAAGTGCAAAAGGACCACATTATGAAGAAAATGAGCTTTATATTGAATTTATATTATATATTTGTAGGTGTAGCCCATTCAATAGAAATGATTAGCATGTGTTATTTATAAGATGTTTTAAGATGTTTCTGTCAACAGTGCTTTGAATGCAGAGAGTTATGCACTTAAGAATTAAACAAGATGTTACACATCTATTTTGTGTCATTTGCGTCTATTTTTGCAGTTTCAAGTTTTATATACAGTAACTGCCTCCATTTATCAAACTAAGAAATCACATCTTCTGAGCAAACAATTTCAGGAAATATTTATTGTGCATTTACATCTCTCAAGTGGTACTTGCAATAAGCATTGTTTTGCCGTATAAACAATGTAGTACAAATTAATACAATAAGGTTTGAGTGCAGAGATGCAAAGTAACAAGAAGAAGTTACAGTTTTTTGGAAACAACAAAAGCAACGATTGGCCTGTGCCAACTTCTTTTGTTGAGCAGGAGAATGAGGAAGAGGGAATTAATATGAAGCTATTTTTTGGGTAGTGAGAAAAAAAGAAAATGTGAAATGGGTATTGGGAAGGGAGAAAGGAGGCTAAAGGAAAATAAATCTGGGAAATGAATTTCAGGCAAGTGTTGAAGACATATTTGTAAATGAATTAAGAGCCTGGGAAAACTATGCGCTGAATTTCATAATAATTGGAATTTATATATAACACACAATTTTTTATAAGTGGGTTATTTAAAATAAACAAAACAAACAACAGTAACCTTGACATATGAACCTAATTGTAAAAATTCATGAATTGAAATTCTTTGCAATAGAACTGAAAATGAATTTTGTTAAAAAGAAAGTACCACTTGTATTCATGTATTTCAGTATTATCACTGTAAATATGGTGTAACACACACATAAGACCACACTTCTGTTTTAAAAGCTCTGCTTGCATACAGGTGCAAACAGATGTGACCAAGAAATACCCAACTGGTATGTGAATTAGAAAATGTTGCATGAATGTATGAAATATGTATAACTGAATACAATAATAATGGTGGAGTATATCACAGTGTAGGATGTGACATTACGTACACAATACAGGAATAGACCTAAATCAATTGTGGCAGGGTGGCTTGTCTACCTAAAACCACTAGGAGGCGATTTCTAAATATTAGCTTTCTAATTGTTTCTGAAAGAATTCCAACGGATTTTACTATGTGGATATCTCTGGTGGGAATTTTACCCTTACACAGACGGTCCGTGTTTTTTAGGAGTTTAAAAAGGGATGGTGGTAGAGCTTAGGGGAGTTAGGTGGAAGACTGCAGTAGCACTGCAAGAGCACACTGCTTAAATAATAATAATAAACTTTATATAGCGCCTTTAAAGGTGGCTTC